TCAAGTACCCACTTCATGTTTCGAAACATTGCTGGAGACATTCATGACCGTCGTGCTTTTGCTTCGCTGTGACTGTGACTGTGAGACATGTCCTTACATGCCGTGGACACATGCTCGGTACTGTTGAGCCTTGTTGCGGCAGAAGATCGGTACTAGCCAGCCGAGAACTTGCCGACCGACCAGTGGACACGTGTGCTGCAGAGCCCGGCCTCCTGGGCCTCATCCAGGCCCACGGCACGGCTGTCTGCAAACCTCCAGCAGCAAGACAACAGAACTCTTCTGCCGCTTAATGCTACAATGGCCTGGTCAAGGAAGGCCACGACAAGCGACCGACCTCACTTGTGTGACTACATGGGCTGGAATCCTGGAATCTGCACTTGTTCACGACGTCCAAGGGCAAGGCAAACATGGCCAAAGGAGGAAGCACACTGTCCTCGCAGGTGAAGCAATGCAATCCCAACTCAGCAACCTACTATGTTTGTCAGGATGCAGTACATAATACGCGAGCTCGTCTTTTTCAGATGACCGGCCCGGATCACTGAAATCCTTCCTCGAGGCGGCGAGGAAATTCCTCAGCGCCTAGAGGAGGGACCTGAGGGCATCCTGGAAACCAGTTCAGTCGACCGGCCCACCACTCACTACCGCTGTGGGCGGCCAGGTGTTGGAGGAATATTGGCAGGGCCAAAGCTTTGTGGATGACCGACCGGCCGCTGGAGCTGCACAGGGACCGTCATGGGAGGCTGCTGCTGCGCAGGGACCGTCATGGGAGGCTGCTGCTGCGCACTGACCGGCCGAGGCTGCTGCTGCTGCTGCGCAGGGGTCATCATGGGAGGCTGCTGCTGCGCACTGACCGGCCGAGGCTGCTGCTGCTGCTGCTGCGCAGGGGCCATCATGGGAGGCTGCTGCTGCGCACTGACCGGCCGAGGCTGCTGCTGCTGCACAGCGGCTGGATTGGGCCTTGCAGGACTGAACGGCTGCGCCGGACCGGCGGGACGTTGAGCACCAGGCAGTGGACTGGTGGAACGTTGAGCAGCGACTCCTTGATGACGGGCAGGTGGCTCAACCTTGGACTTCGTATATGACCGACGGAAGCATTACAAATGACACCTCACACAGACAAGTGGCACCAGGACCGCCAGTCAGTCGACTCTCCACATTCTCTGCCTGCCACATCGGCGACCGACCATATGCCTTGGGCCAAGTGGCACAGCACCGACCGTTATCAATTCCAAGTTCACCCAATGCCCAACACAGCTGACACTATGATAGCTGCTGTGAAAGGTACTGCCTCCTTCCAATGAAAGCTGATCTGTTTCCATGCGACCAGCTGATCCTGCAACGACTCCTGCTTCTTGAGCAGGTCTGAGATCTCGGTTGTTCTCGACCGGCCAATCATACAAACAGGTCTTCAGGTCAAGGATAATCAGTCAGTCAACCAACTAAATAATAAATCAGCCGAAGATCTGAATGGGCCATCTGCACTGTTCCAGAAGCATCGACCGGCGGCTGAGGCTGAGGAATAGGCGTAAGCGGAGGGACCGACGGGAAGGGCAATGGCAAAGGTGGCAACGGCGGAAGTGGAGGCGGAAGGAGAGGCGGCAGTGACGACGCCGGGCGGACCGGCGGCATAGAAGGCATAGAAGGCATAGAAGGCATAAAGCCGCCATGGCCACGTCGTTCCTGCACAAATCAACATCTTGACACACACAACATAAGATATACACAGCTGAACTGCACCCGAACTGCACCTGACCTGCACCTGAACAGCACCAATGTATACAATCTCGAAACCTGAACTGCACCTGAACTGCACCTGAACTGCACCTCAACTGCACCTGATGACAACATGTGGTATTGCAAGCCAAGCCTCGCCATCATCGACCGGCTTCGTGGTTTTCCTGTTATTCTTCTTCTCGAAGCAAAACTCCATGAAGGTCCGCTTCTTCTGCTGGGACCGGCTCTTAGTTGCACAGACACGACACAGTCTGTCAGTCAGCTGGAATCGACCGACAAGCTAGTTTAGCCAAGCGACATTGGGGTCAGGCGTCTGGAACTTGCTGCCTTTCTTTTTGACCGGCTGATCAGCACTGCCACTTGCAGGCTCAGCGACCGGCTGATCAGCAGCACTGCCACTTGCAGGCTCAGCCGGCTCAACATCCGCCTTGCCGACCGACTCGGTATCGCCCTCCTCAGACACCTCAGTCAGGAGCTCTGCGACCGCCTCGGCTGATCTCTTCTTCTTCTCCTCCCTGACCTGTTTCCTGGATTTTTTTGCGACCGTCTTCTCGTCCTTGGCCTCCTTGTCACCCTTCTTGTCCTTCTTGTGCCTGTCGACCGTCTTCTTGTCCCTGGCCTTGGCGTCGCCCTTCTTGTCCTTGTTCTGCCTATCCTCTTCATCGGCATCTGCCATGGCGACCAACACGTGAATGGAGGGCACTACTGTTTATAATGTGAAACACAACACACACTTCAATGCTGACCGACGTTATGTTCATGTCGCCTGGCTGCCAACCATGTGTTCAGCACACTTGACAGAAGTGGCTGGTGACCGGCAATTGCGAGTAAAGCTGCGGAGCACTTCACTTGCAAAGCACAGAGTCCTGAGCCGGTACGTTGTCGACGACCGGCGCATCACGAGATGCGAGATGCTCCCTCCAGCACCTGAAGGACATAAAGCCGACAGTCACAAACTTGAAAGCATCTTTGTGCTCAGCTCCTGCACCGACCGGCAACTCGGCCAGAAAAAATCACTGAACCTGGGCGAGAATATGCACGAGCTAGCATCCCGAACTAGTGGGCCAAGGATGACCTCAGGTCCCAGCGTCGACAGGCAATAAAAGCACCGAGGAATGCTGCTCCCAGATGTGATCGAACTGACTGAAACAGTCAGCTCGATCAAATCTGGGAGTAGCACGGCCAGCACCAGGAAAGAAGGATGCCTTGAATCGATGTATGCTTCAAATATAATCATGACTCCAAAGCTCAGCCCCCAGCTCACCTCCCGGACCGGCGAAGGCCTGCCCAAGCTTACATCTGGAACTCACCGGCCAACCTATTACCTTAGGCCCCAGCATCGACCGGCTAGGCGATGAGAAGCGCCTGCAAGACTAAGAGAGGTCAGGAGTCACACAACTGGGTGACTCGAAACCTCAGCCCCCAGCAGTCAATGTCCTCCTCCAGCAAGGAGCCCTGCACGAGCTTACATCTGGTATCTGGAATGTGAAGAAGGGACAACCTATGACTTAGGGCCAAGCTTGGACCGGCAGGCAGAAGACGACAAAATGGGCCTGTGTCTGTCTGTGCATCATCGGCTCGACTGACCGGCTGCCCCCAAAATCTCAGAGCCACACAGACAAACCGTGCTCGATTGATGGTGGCCTGGGCGAGCAGAGCTTTCTGTCTTGCGGCTGCACATTGCAACTGAGGGTCCAGCAAGCCACCCTCGTCGCGACCGACAAGACACGTGACCAACCATAGGTCAGGCCTCAGGCGGTGGTTTGCAGACGTGAAGTCGACCGGCAAAAATCCGCGTCCTGCAGGCCCTGCACAAACACACCGGGACCGAAGTCGACCGGCAAGCGATGTGACACAGGGCGCCATGGACCCGGGTCCCACAGCTAGCCCTGTGTCCTGCCTGAGTGCCGGGACCTAAGTCGACCGGCGAGCTCAGGAGTGCACCGGGACCGAAGTCGACCGGCAAGCGATGTGACACAGGGCGCCGTGGACCGGGGTCCCGCAGCTAGCCCTGTGTCGTGCCTGAGCGCCGGGACCGAAGTCGACCGGCGAGCTCAGGAGTGCACCGGAACCGAAGTTGACCGGCAAGCGATGTGACACAGGGCGCCGTGGACCGGGGTCCCACAGCTAGCCCTGTGTCGTGCCTGAGCGCCGGGACCGAAGTCGACCGGCGAGCTCAGGAGTGCACCGGGACCGAAGTCGACCGGCAAGCGATGTGGCACAAAGCACTGCGGACGGGAGTCACACAGCGAGCTCTGTGCCATGCCTGAGTACCGGGACCGAAGTCGACCGGCGAGCTCAGGAGTGCACCGGGACCGAAGTCGACCGGCAAGCGATGTGGCACAAAGCACTGCGGACCGGAGTCACACAGCGAGCTCTGTGCCATGCCTGAGTACCGGGACCGAAGTCGACCGGCAAGCCCAGGAGTGCACCGGGACCGAAGTCGACCGGCAAGCTCAACTCAGCAACAGCAGCACCGGGACCGAAGTCGACCGGCCAGCTGCTGCATCACGAACGTGACCGACGAGGGGGGTTTGAGGACTTAGGGCTTAGGGCCTTAGGGTTCAGGGTGCCGACCGACCTAAAAAACCCAATCCTAAATAATCCGAAGCAAATGCAAACTCCAACCTTACCAGCAAATCCGAAACCACATCCTTTAACCCACACCCGATCCAAACAACGCAAAAAATCACTCGACCGACCACACTAAAACACCCTGAACCACTAGCCTAACTTAAACCCCAAACCCCATACTGGGGCATCCGGCCCATGGCGTCAGGATGATCTTCTCGACCGGCAGGGCTTGAAGGTTAATGGTTTTCATCTTCTGTGTTATTTATTTTAGGCTTTGAGTTTGGGGGTACAAGCATTAATTACAACCGGCGGGCTGTTGGTAGTAAGGGTTGTTGAGATATGTGGGCTATTGGGGCCTTAAGGTTTTAATACCCAAGTGAGGATTTACGTGCCGCCCTGCCCCCCCCCCTCCCCCTCCCTATGTATGGATCCTGCCCTTTACGACCGTCCCGTTAAGTGAGGAGGACTGGGGCCCCCAGCCTCCCTCACTTAATAGAACGGCTGAACCAAAAAGATAAACGACCGGCAGGTGGACCCAAGCTGTTTTAGCAAAAAAGATAAACGACCGGCAGGTGGAGGCAAGCTGTTTTAGCAAATGCAGTTAATCAGCTCACACGAAAACGGTTTCACCACTTCCCCTAAAAAACCTTACAGCTCAACCCTGTAGAACTCCTGACTTCTATCCAAGGCACCAAAGGTCCCTCCGTCCATGAGGACTCTTCGTCGGGATTGGTCTCGGAGAGTCGGAACCGCAGCTGGAAGCCCTGCATGTGGGCAGTTCTCTAAGGTCCGGTTCCCCATTCGTAGGGTTTAGGGTTTGGGGTTTAAGGTTTCGGGTTTAGTGTTTAGGGTTGGGCTTTTTGGGATCTATAAAGAATTCCTGTAGCACGAGGCCCCTTAACCAAGATCCTAAAAGCGATCCCTATTTAGAGAACTGCCCATGTCGGCAATGGAGCACCAGAACGCCTTTAATCTAAAGATGAAACCCTTTCGCAAAACCTACAAACCCCACAGCTGCAAAAGAACACTGCACCACCTTACACAAACTCTCTAGCCCTCCCTAAACCCTAAACCCTATAAACCCTAAGCCCCAAGCCCAAAACCCTAAATCCTAAACCCTAACCCCTGAAAAAAGCCCGAAGAGAGCCTGGCTGAGACCGTCGCAGTCTGCGGACACCTGGATTTGTAAGCCATCCAAGCTGGGGCTGTCGACCTGGATCTTCTTAGCTTTGGGTGGTTTTGGGAACTTCTTAGTTTTCGTGGTTTTGGGAACTTCTTAGTTTAGGTGGTGTTGGGAAACTTCTTGGTTTTGGTGGTTTTGGGAACTTCTTGGTTTTGGTGGCTTTGGTAACTTCTTAGTTTTTGTGGCTTTGGGAACTTCTTGGTTTTGGTGGTTTTGGTCACTTCTTAGTTTAGGTGGTTTTGGTTGGTGGTTTTGGGAACTTCTTGGTTTTGGTGGTTTTGGGAACTTCTTAGTTTAGGTGGTTTTGGGAACTTCTTAGTTTTGGTGGTTTTGGGAACTTCTTAGTTTTCGTGGTTTTGGGAACTTCTTAGTTTTGGTGGCTTTGGGAACTTCTTGGTTTTGGTGGCTTTGGGGTCTATAGGGTTTTTGGTGTTTAGGATTCGGAGGATATTGAACAGGTTCTGTGAGCGCTTCTCAATAAGTTTACTGCGGGAAGGTTTCTTAGGTTTAGGGTTTAGGAGCATTAAGGGAGTTTCCGAAAATAGGGGACCCAAATATAGCACCCTAAATAGTAGGATCCTTGTAAAAAAAGGACCCGCAAATAAGGTACCCCTAGTTTTCCCTTAAAGCTTTGGGGTCCTTGGGTGGCCCTTCCGTCTCAGCCCTCCACCCACCGGACGGCAAGGCCCGGCTTCGCCGGCGCAGTGAGCGGGGAGACAGGCGCCTTAAGACGAGGGCCAATCTGCAGCCCGAAAATCTCATAGGATTCCTTGTTGTGGCTTCTCTCTCTCTCTCTCTCTCTCTCTCTCTCTCTCTCTCTCTCTCTCCACATATATATATATATAGATATATATATATATATACATATATATATATATACATATACATACATATTACTTTAAAAGGGGAGGTCTAGGCTCAAGGCTAGAGCCTCTAGGTATTGCGGGGCTTAAGCCTTTTAGGGTCTAGGGTTTCGGGCTTGCCCCGTATGAAGCCATCCACACCCTCAAGGCGAGCTCTACCATCTTTGCACTTTTGGAGTTTAGCCAGAGGGTCCAAGTACCCAAATAGTAGGGTTTTAAGTCCCAAAATCCATACCCTGAATGGTTTTTGGACCCTGAATACTATTTGGGTACTTGGATCCTTACTTGGAGGGTCGGGGGACTTAGTAAGTAGGTAGTAAGTAGACTTATAAGCAACCTACAAGGGACCCTAATTGGGTTTATGGTACTTATAAGTCCCTAAAGTAACCAGCTACTAAGTCCCCCGACCCATAGGTTCTTGGATCTTGCACTCCTGACTCTTAACCCTAAACCCTACATTGAGGATCATGGGACGCAGTAAGCAAGGTCATAAGCGAGTTATAAGTATAGTTACCTTCTTTACAACCCTAGTTACTATAAGTCCCAGGATCCTCCCCTAAACCCTAAACCCTACACCCTAAACCCTAAACCCTAAACCCTGCACCCTAAACCCTAAACCCTAAACCCTGCACCCTAAACCCTAACCCTCTGGCATCCCATGAAGCTGAGGAGCTGCGATGGATGCGTAGCTGAAGTGGCCTGGCAGGCAAGCTGCAGCACGGAGCATGGTGCAGTTACCAGTGCAGTTCGGGGAGGGTTTAGGGTTAAGAGTTTAGATGGGGATTTTGGGCTATGGGTTTCAGTATGGGTTTGGGATTCAAGATAGCAAGAATCGTAATGAAGGCCGGCTGTTGTCATGCTGCTACAATTCTTGACAATATACGCTTCTGCAGGATGCTGTTACACACAAAGTATACCCTAAACTTTCAGACAGAATCCGCTGCACAAACAAAGCAATCCCGGATTAAAAGCAATCACAATTCGGAAGCCAAGAGGCTCATGCGCCGCGATGCCAGCCGGAACTTCGCCCATGCATGGCCCTGCGCAGCCTGGCCAAGAAGTCACTTTGAAGGCAGAGTTTTATAGGTGTGTGTTCAAAGTTTTTGTTTGCGATAGGGCCGGTTGAGTTCTGGCTAACTGTTTTCTACGACATTTATTGATCTATGCATGGGTTTTGAACGGGTCTTTGTAGGTTCTATAACTGTTCTAGCCAAAGAAAGCCGTTCGGGGTTGTGGCTTTTCGGGGTTAGGATTTGAGGGCATTCGGGATTTGAAATCGGAAGTGGCCCTGAATTGAATGACCACTGAGAGCGACCTTGGATTAACATCGGCCGCACCTCAGCACCGCGTCTGACGACCAGCCTGAGCACAGGCATTTCGGCAGGGATACCTGCTCACTCTGTTTCCTAGCCGTCTTGCTAGCACAAACCCTAAAGCAGATCATCCACTCTGCAAGGATTCCTGAATGCGGTACCCTCATTGTCGAAGGTCCTTCGGAATTTTCAGGACCAGTGAAAAGATCCTCACCAACTATCACAACAACTTCATAAGGTACCCATAACTAGACCTAAGAGTAACCTAGGAATAAAAGGGTGCCCTTTTTGGTTTAAAGGGGGTTATAAGGGAACCGAAACCCTCAAAAAGGGAATAAGGGCCTACTCTGGGTCCTAGATAAGGATTCTTTGTTACAAGGACTCCTCACTGAGGACTGAGGCGCCTTCATGGCAAGGACAGCTCTGGGGCGCAAGCGGGTCAAGTCCGGCTGCCAGGAAGATCCGTTCTGCGCCATCTTCGACATCAGCTGCAAGGTCCAAGCGCCGGATGGCGGGCACCTGACCACTGCCCAACCACGGTTTTAGGGGATAGGGTCGAAGAGGGATTAGGGTTAGGGCTTTTGCCGCCGTTTACGATGTAGAGTTTAGGGCTTTCGCGGTTTAGGGTTTAGGCGGCTTGGGGTGTATATAAGCGGTTTTGGGTCAGCTTTGGCTTCAGTGCATCAGGGGGCCTTGCCTACTTTAGGGGCCCTCAGAATGTGTAAGGCTCCTGCTATTTCGGGTGGAAATCGAAAAAAGGCTGGTTTTATCAGTAGAATACTACCCCTATACACGCTCATTCAATTTCCCAAAGAGCCCTAAATCTCAAGTCATCGAAAACCTCATAGAAGGAACACTCCGAATGAACATGAACCACTAGGTTCCTCAGCAACCCCATAATGAAACATACCATTCGGTTTTACTAAGGAGACCCCGAACTCAAAAGGGGACAGGGTACTCCTCGGCAACCTAGACCAGGCCAAGTGAGAGGCCCCGCCTCTTTCCAGTCGCACTCCTCATCCAACGGCCGCGCAGAAGAACTCGAGCACGGCGCGGCAGGATCGAAGGACCTTCCACGACTTTCAACCGTCCCTAAACCCCTAAACCCTTCAAACCCCTCAACCCCAAAGCCACCTAAACTTAGACCGAAAACCGGCCACAAAAGAAGCTTGAGCCCCTATCCCTCCTTCCCTGACTCTCTGACGTGTGCTTGGAGGGTCGGGGGACTTAGTAACTGGTTATTTTAAGGACTTACACGTACCATAACGCCAATTAGGGTCCCTTTTAGGGTACTTATAAGTCTACTTACTACCTACCTACTAAGTCCCCCGACCCTCCAAGTGGCGCCTGTATTGAAGCACATAGTGCGAAGCCGGTCCAATCTCTGAGGTGAGATTCAACAGATCCTCAGCATCCTCGGCCTTCACCGGGTTTACTGTAGGGTTTCAGGGTTCAGGTTTTAGGGCTTAGGATTTAGGGCTTAGGACTTTAGAGCTCAGGTTAGGGATCGGGTTTCGGGTTTCGAGTGAAAGCTAAATCTTAAGTTGGACTTCATCCTTTCCTTTAAAGGGTACCTTAAAGGGCTCTATAAAGGGTCTAGGTAGGGGTCTATAATACAGGGGCCTCAATAATTAGAGAAAGGTGTTGGCTTAAATATAGCATACTTCGCTTGTTGCAAAGCTGTGAGGACTATAAGGGTACTTCATCCTACTCCAATGTTAGTGCAGTTTATGAGGGGAATACTGTGACTAGTTATTTTGTGAGCCTCCACGCCCTCGGCAAGGGCGAGGTCCCGCGCGAACTTCGGCAGGCAAACAGCGGCCCAGCACGTGTCCAAAGCCTCAAACGCAACACTATAGACCGGGGAATCACGCACGTATAGACCTGCATACATACATACATACGTACGTAAACACACATCCATTATATACACTGTACACACGCATATTGTATCACGTAGAGAAAGAGGCCTTAATAGTTACAATAGGCTTCGGGATGTGTGCACACGCACACATACATACATACATATATATATATATATACACACACATACACATATAGCCATGTAGTGTGTATGTATATTCATATATATGTTTTGAATATTGCGAACTACAATAAGGGCGAAATGGCACTCATTCTTCTGACCCCTGTATTAGCGGAGAGAAGGAACGCGGCATGGATAAGGGGAGAAGCAGACCTGCAAACTCTTCATTATGAAACCGCTGCAGGCACCTTCGTACAAAAAGACATCATAACAACTTGAAAAGTTTGGCTGAGGCAGGCACCGCGTCTTTGTCGTTTCTCAAGTCCTGCATACACCCACGCAGGCATATCTACGATGAAAATTGCGCAGGTGACTTGGCCGTTAACATCTCCGAGAACACCGAAATTTCCGATATCGGTCCATCTGCAAGCCACGTCGGCGAAGGTCCCAGCAGCTGAGATGCTGTGGGACGGGCAACGGCAGCTGCACCTGCCATGCAGAGAGGGCTATTGCTTTTGCAGCTTCCACAATCACAACTATACATACCTATACGCATGTATACACATGTATAAACACATAGATATGTGTATATACATAATATATGCATAGACAGGTATGTAGCATACATAGCCGATTATGTTTGTGTACATGTATAAACATACTCTATGACGTGTTGTATACGGCCATTGACCGATGCACCTGCCGAGGAAGAGAAAGGTCGACACAAAGCGCTTGACGGGACCACTGCGGCCCGGTGATGGCCATGCTGCCTGCGGTCTCGAGTTTAGGGTTCGGATTAGGATTTCGGGTTCAGGATTTCCGGTGTTTAGGGTGAGTAAACGGACAGCTATTTACATAGCGCAGAACTCGTTACTAGACGAACAGCAACTTGTAGACCCTATTGCACTGCAGAACAATACGTAAGCCCACGTCGTCGTGCCAACCCTGAACCGTGGCTATAGCATGATATACCGTCAAGCTTCTGCCGGCCACGACGCCGGCACTATCGCGAATGCTCAGAGCAGGGGAACTGGCCTCCAACCCTCTGACCCTGCCCCGAAGTTTAAGGTTGAGTCACAACCCTTCGAACCGCTATGGAACTCGAAAGGAACCCTTATGAAACCTATCCAAAGCTCTTTCTTATCTGTTGAAACCCAAGTAAAGCCGATCAGACTCCTTACCAAACCCGCTGAGACCGTATAGAACCCCGTAGAGACCAGCTAGGCTGAATCAACATGGACCCTTTGAAGCAACAACCCTAAACCCCTAAACCCCTAAACCCTAGACCCTAATCCCTAAACCCCGAAAAAAGCTGCCAAGCGACGGGTGACCACAAAAAGTCGCACATCACAGCGCAGTGGTGGGAGGCGACTGCGGGGCAACCGCCGAAAGACCACCTTTGATTTGGGGGTTTGGGGAAGTTCAGCTTCAGGTTTAAGGTGCTTACGGATGGGAGTTGTAAAGCGATTGTTCAAGATTAGGGTTTCAGGGTTCAGGCTTTAGGGTTTTTGGCTAGGCTTTAGGCTTAAGGTTAAACTTCCCACACTGACTGCAATTTATGTAGTTATTGGGTCAAAAATAGTACGGCACCCTTACGAAAAGGGACCATAATTTAGGGAAGGATTTAAAGCATTCGGGGACTTAGGAACCAGGGCTGTATCTATATTTATAGCTGATTATGAGCCCAAGAAATTCAAGCACTTATAACTTATAACTCCTAAGTCCCACGAACTCACATGCCTTTGCCCGTTCCCCCAACCCTGAACCCCTAAACCCTGAACCCCAAAACTCCTAAGCCCCCCTGACCCCTAAACCCTAAACCCGACCCCTAAACCCTGAACCCCTGACCTGTCTCCGCCCCTTCCCGTTCATACCCTGGGTATCAAAATAGCCCGAAAGCCTTACATAGTATGGGTCTTGGGCCCAAAGGCCTTAATAATATGAGCCCTTAGATGCCGAAGGATAAAAACCCTAAACCCTAAACCCTAAACCCAAAACCCAAAACCCTAAACCCTAAACCCTAAACCCTAAAGACTCCTGGCCTCTTCGCCGGGGCTCATCGATCCCTGTCGTCCGGCACAAGCAGCTACTATAGGGGCCTTAAGTGCGAAATAAGTACAGCAGGATTTTTTTTTAGGGGTGCCTCTAAGGAGTTCCTTTAAAGGCTCCTTTAAGGGTTCCTTCAAAACTTTACGCCTTTTCTTTAAACGGTTCTTGGAAAGGTTCCTTCTAGGGTGATTTTATTGGGTTATTATAAGGGTTCAGCCTCGGGGCCTTCATACAGTAGGATAGGGGCTTCGTTTCAAAGCTTTTCCATAAGGGATCCATAATGACGGTTTTAGGGTTCAGTGTGTAGAGTCTACTTAAGGGGCCTCAAGAATGAAATAGTACAGCTCTCCCTGGTGGCCGCCATATGATTCTTTTGATGCATCGCACTCCAGCAGCCTATTCCAATTCGTCAGGCCCATATACCCATGGGCTCAATAGTAGTTCCTTTTGGGGGTTCATATTTAGCATCCTATAAGGTAATCCCAAACAGGGACTACCATGGAGCCTCTGGGCAGCACAGCCGTGTTAGGGGACACTCGAGTGATCAGGCAATACGTGCCGCACTGGCCTCCAGGCAAACGACTGATTCAGCGCGCTGCGCTGCCAGCAGCCCGTCACCGTTGGCAGTGAAGCCACGGACAAAAGGAGGCAGAAAGTCTGCAGCTTCTTCCTTCGCACATTCCGCAACTGAAGAGCCACTGCAGGACATGTACTATACCAAACTATACCCTTCCATACTACCCACTATACGGTACTGCAAAAACCGACGACTGTGTTCAACGGGTGTCCTGAGCCTCGGCGCAGGGGCGCTCGGACAAAACGAAGTAAGACCTGAGCAACTCACAAGACCCGTAGGGGGGGTAATGCAGGGGATTTGAAAATTAGAATAGGGTTTTGGGGCCCATTATACTTTCATCACAATAAGGAACCCCCCAAAATGGTATTGGTAATTCTTTAAGCCCCCATAGCCTCAATGCCCCTAATAATAAGGACCTGAACAGGAACCAGTAAGCCGTATTTGAGGATGTGTAGTCCCCTACCCCCCTCCCCCTTACCCCCTAAGGGTCCCTATAACGGACGACATATGATGAATTTCGAATTCTCGCTCGGTGTGCGGACTCTCGCAAAATTCAGCACCAGCACCGCTGCTTCAAGAATCTTCAAGAAACAGGGCATGCTGGGCATCGTGAGATACGCTGTGCCTCTGCAACATCTGAACACAGCCAGCGCGGGGGGCATGCTCCGTATTTCCCTGCAACTTCACAACGCATAACCTGCACCTACCTACCCTGAGCTTCCAAAACCCCTTAATTAAGGAATATATCTTAAATCATATTAGGCATCCTATTATGATTTAAGGTATATTCCTTAATTAAGAGGTTTTGGAGTCTCTGGGCACGGTGCCCCTGAGCTTTCGACACCTGAAACTCTGATGGCAGCGTGAGCAGCGCGGGAAACGCTTGAGCTCCGTCACCTGGCACGGCAGCGAGGCCCCGTCTTGACGGGCCCAAAAAGCACATAAGCATAAGCATTTTATGGGGATATCTCTACCTTATTGGGCTTCATGATAAGTGTGTTTATATGGGATATCCCGAACCTGATTTTTGCTTATGTGCTTTTTGGGGGCCTTACTTCAGGTAGCTCCGAGTCATCGTCTAGCAGCGGCAGCAGTAGCTCTTCGAGCTGGACAGCTTGCAGGAAATGCCAAAAGGTCAAGCGTGAGATCGATGCCCGTTGTTTGCATCCACGAACATACACATACAAATACACGTCACACACACATACACATAATACGCATATATCTACGAATACGCATACGCATACACCTACACCTACATATACACGTGCACATACACAGACATAGACATATACCGAAATTTCTGTGTACGTGCACCGTGCCTATGGCAGATTGCTTGTCGTCTCGCAACGGCATGGAAGCACATATGCAGAACCCTTGAAGCCTCAGTATAGTGGAGGATTCTTCTTGAGGAACCCCCCTAAACCCTAAACCCCAAAACATCAACATAACCTGAAGAAGCCACGGCCCCCTCAACTACACGTCAGGAACGCCATGCAAAATCCTTGCAAAGCCTTAATGTATCGACCCCTGCAGCTTACCCTAAGGCCCCAAAGAAGTTCCTTTTTGGGGCTCATAATCAGAATAAGGCAATCCCAAAAAGGAACTATACTTTGGGGCCTATGGGTAAAGCCCTATGGCACCCTTATGACATGTTGCGAAACAAAGCCCACAAGCCCGACATAAACACCTATTTCAAGCCCCGTGTCATCCTAGGATATCCAGTAACCTAAGAATAAAAAGGCCTGTCTTTTTGGTATTGGGAAACTTTATAAGTTTATAAGGAACCTAGGACTACAAGAAGGGAATAAGGGTACTACTGGGCATCCTAGCATCTGCTTGTCGTGCCTTGGAGCGGGAAAGGCCGCCAGCGCAGTTGGATGTGCCATTCCCTTGATTCCTGCACACAAACGGACTGCAAAGCTTTAGGGCCTAGGTTTTGAGATTTAGAGTCTAAGGATAATGTAGGGGCCTTAATAATAAGAATAGTGTTTGGGGGCCCACTGTACTATAATTATGATAAGGAACCCCCAAAGTAGTGTAGGTAATTATTAAGGCCCCTATGGTAGCTATACCCTTAACCTTAAACAATTAACCTTAAACCCGAAACCTTAAACCCTAAACCCTAAAGGCAGCTGCCAAGCCGAAACTATTGCAAATTATTCAACCCCAGGTTACCAGGTTTTGAGATTTAGAGCTTAGGGCTAAGCCGATACTATGGCATTATTCAAACCCTCGGTTTTGATATTTAGAGCTCAAGGACAAGCTGATACTATTGCTGATTTTGAGATTTAGAGCTTAGGGCTAAGCGGATACTACTGCCGGTTATTCAATCCCCAGGTTTCTAAACTTAGGGCCAGTTTGTGGGCGTCTTATGCACAACAATGAAGGGTTTAATTAGAGTTTAGCTTCTCGGGCGCAGGGCCTAGGCATCAACCTCCCTCATCGCTTGATAAGCTGATACTATGGATTATTCAGACCCTGGGTATCGCAGGCTGGGCCTTCGAAGAGCACAAGACCTCCGCATCGATCAGCTTCAGCTTGCCGGCCTCAAGATATTATCCTTTAAGGGTTCCTTTAAGGGATCCTCTAAGGGTTCCTTTAAAGGGTTCCTTTAAAGGGTTCCTTAAGGGGATCCATAGGGGTTCTGTAAACGGTCTAGGGTTTAGAGTTTCCGAAAATAGGGCTGCCTTATTTTGGGGGTCCTTATAATAAGGATCCTACTATTTAGGGTGATATGTTAGGGTCCCCTATTTTCGGAAACCCCGACATACTAGAGTCTACCCTAAAAAGGCTAGAAGGTGATATACTACAGTCTACTGTACTGTAATATACTATGATCTACCGTAACATACTATAGTCTACGATGGTCTACTATGAAATGCTACTTCTTATTGTGTAATCCTCAATATACTAGGGTCTGCTAGAAAATACTATATAATGTAGTCATGTAATATACTATCATATTCTGCTATGGTATACTCTAGACTAATATAATGTATTATACTATTCACAATATACGATGACATAATATTATCTCTGACGCGGGGGGCTGCTTCCTTAGGGGATCATGGGCCTGGCGGGGGGCATTCCTTTTTGTAGGGTCAGAGAAAAACTGGGTTGTAGTTTTGGGGCTCTGAAAAGAATTTATGAATAGGTACCTCTATAGGAACCGTTAGGGAAATCAAAAAGACAGTTTCCCAAAGTGCCGCGAAGAAAAGTATCCTATCCTACCGTTCAATTTCTGCTCTAACTCTGATGTTGCTAAGCCAAAGACCAAGGCCAACATCCGGATCTGCCGGCAAGAAGCTTTCGTTCGTCTGCGCCTTCTTTTTCGTCGTGCTGCCTCTTTCGGAACACGGGCTGCTGTCTCCTGCATCTCAAGACGTGAAGCCATTCAACTATGCTACTCGAGCGCATTCGGTATGCACTACATACAGTCTATCTCTGGTATAGAGTAGGAGCAAGCAGATGAACAGGAAACTGTCTAGTCTTGTGAACTGCACCACAACTTCGACATGTTGCTCTCATGTGCTGCATGTGCCAGTAGCAGAAGCTGACAATATCCTGGCCAGCGGAATCGCCATCTTCCACCGGCGCCTTCTGCTGTCTCTCTCTGGCTTCCCGGCTTTCGCTCTCCTCAGCCTCCTCTCATCAACGGCCGAATTTCGCATTCAAGTCCGTGAAACTGCTGGTAGAGTCTGGTCGTTACCTATATATATATATATATATATATATATACTGACGGTTCGCCGCAGGTGCCATGATTTTTGCGCTGTTTAAGGCAGAAAGCGAAATGCAAACCGCTGTTTGAAAGGCTCAGAAAAAAGAGGGCTAGTGGTTCTTCCAGGGTTCAGGTGTTAAGGCTTGGTACATCGCACCACCCGTACAGTCCCCAGTCCGCAAGCATACTGCTCGGGACCAGACCTACACATGCAAGACACCATGGACGCTGACACTATCTGACGCTTGTGCATGTCCGCCGAAACTTGTCTTGCTGACCTCTCAAAGCAGTCCCCACTGCCCGTTGCTAGTCCCCTACCCGACAAGTGTCCTGGCCAGCGGAATCCTCGTCGTCGACCGTTGCTTTCTGCTGTGTTTCTTTGTCTTCCTGGCTTTCACCCTCCTCAGCCTCTCCTTCCTCCCCTCCCTGATCTTCCCTTGTCTGGCCGTCCTCTTCCTCGCCTCCCTCCGCGCTGTCTCGTGCCCCGGCCTGCTTTGCCTCCTCCTCCGGGAGTTAGGATTAGGGGGACCCTTGGGGAGATAGACCCTCTCAATAAGGCCCCTTTTTAGAGAGCCAGAAGTAGGGTTCAGAAGGGGTACCCTTTAAGGGGTCTCCCTAATAGTACTACCTATCCTCCTCGGCTTCCTCCTGGCTGGCTTTCCTGGGCTCGGCCTCGGCGCTACGCTCCTGACAGGAGAACCGGTCCAAAGGACCCAAGAATTGAGTACTCGGCTTTGGGATGGTAGTTAGATGTAGGTTAGGCTTTTGGGGAGTAGATGATTATTGAGAATTCGGTACTTGGAACCTTCAACCCTAAACCCTAAAACCCTAAAACCCTAAACCCGTTGGGGGGGGGGCAGGGCATCCGATTGCACGAGACTGCACAGAAGTCTTGGGCAGGCGGAACCTGGGGAGCCTCGCTTCTACTGTAGGAGCCTGAATAAGTAGAATAAGAAGGTTTCGACGCATATTATACCATGCACATGATTCTCATAATAATAATCGTAATAATAACAACAACAACAACAATAATAATAATAATAATAATAATAATAATAATAATAATAATAATAATGATAGTCATAATACTCATAATTTTAATAATACAATATTGTTATTATTTATTATTATTATTGTTATTATTATTATTTTATTATTATTATTTTATTATTATTATTATTATGGGTATTATATATACATTTAATATATATATACACATACATTCATACATTCATACATTCATACATACATACATAGGTATATTAACAGATTATACACCGAGGAACACCAAAACAGTGCTGAGTTCTTCTCCAGGCCTCTATTCCTACAATGGATTTTTTGTAGATTCTTTACACGAACCCTCACTGATCCTTTGAGGCAAGCTTGACCATGCTTGGGTCCTCTTTCGCTTCATCGGCGTCCGTCCTTTGATCAACGCTCTCGTCCTCGCAGATGGGGGACTTCAGTTTGTGGAAGTATCCAAAGCAGAAAGGCATCGGCGCTGCATGACAGACGGCTACTCCCCAAATGCTCAGATCCATATTATAATCAGAAAGATGTCCACAACATTTTCTAAATACCAATTTTAACCCTAAGCCCTGAAGTTACACACGCCCACAATACTCTCTTTTAACCCTAAGCCCTGAAGTTAAGCACACTAATATCCTCTTGTAACCGCTACACCCTACACCCTAAAGTTACGATTGCCACTCCTGTGACATCTCCTGATCTGAACCTTCGCTGGTGGACACCTGCTCCAGCGGCGGTGGGACCACCTCACACTTACGCATGTGGGTGGTTGTCAAAATTAGGGTCCCTTTTTGGGTCCTTATTATAATACGGCACCTAATATGTAGGGTACCCAAGAAGGGACCACAATTTTGACAACCACCCATGTGGGCTTTGGGTCTAGGGTCTGCTCCAGTCCCAAGTCATCTCTGAACCCTCTCACAGCCGCAAAACCTCATGACGCATGACTCATAAGCCTTCTTGCTCGTAGCTGAGCTCGAGAACGTGTGAAGCAATCACAGCATGCAGGAGCTGCTAAAAAGCACATAAGGGCCAATAAAATCCACCCTTTTGCAGTAAGAATCTTCTTCCAGGTGCCCCCTTTATACGGCACCCCTACTTGAAGGATCATGGGACTTAGTAAGTAAGGTTATAAGTACCTTAATTGGGGTTTTAAGAATAGTTACCCTAATTATAACCCTAGTTACTAAGTCCCATGATCCTCCAGGTGGGCCTTTTAGAGACTCCTTTAAGGGTTCCACCCCAAACCCTAAACCCCTAGTGTCCCGAGATCCCGTCCATCGGCACTAGCGGCGATCACTCGCGCGTTTTGAGAGGACCAGGCTCTGCAAATCAGTCAAGGATCTTCAGACACTGATAGGAACCCTTAGGGCTTAGGGTTTTAGGGTTTTTCTAAGTGTATTGGCTAGGTCGCCCTAGTCTGTCTTTACAGACATACACTGTGTGAGACATGATGAACTTCTCCGTTTTAGGGTTTAGGGATCTAGGGTTTAGGGTTTTTAGGGTTTAGAAGCCTGGCCTCGGGCAGCATGAGGTGCAACGGCTTCGACGGAGGTGACCAGGAAGAGCACTGCTCATCACTGCGAACCTCAAACTCAAAGGTTCAGGGTTTAGGGTTCAGGATTTAGGGTTTAGAGTTCAGGGTTCAGGGTTTAGGGTTCAGGGTTCAAGGTTGAGGGACGCAATATTGAACTTAAAGGTCCATGGGACTTAGGGTTCCTTAAAAGGGTGCCTTAAGGGGCTCCGTAAAGGGTTCTATAAGGGGTCCATGGGGATTTAGGGTTTAGGGTCTAATTGGAGGTTCATGGGACTGAGCAAAGTAGAGTTATGAATACACTGACTATACTCTTAACTAATGACAACCTTAGTTAAAGTACTTATAACTTCATTACTAAGACCCATAAACCTTCAAGGACAGACAAGCAACGCTCTACCAAAAAGCGAACAGGTTACAAGTGGGTGCTGAGTACCCTATGGACAACTTACTCAAAGCTCGGCGTATAACCCCCTTGCTAAGTCCTATACGATTGGTGACTACAACTTTTTCGAGGGAGTATACAGGGATACTACAAATTACCCCAACGTCTTTCATGCAGGGGTCGGACTGTCTTTAGGGCTCCCTATTATTGCAACTATGCGATGATACCCGGCCCTGCACTAGGCCCTAAACCCCATACCCTGACCCTTACACTCAGCCCCGCTCGGAACCGTCATATAGGGAGCCCCGTGCTAATCTCATACAGTGCGCTTGCCGTAATATGAGGGCCGAAAAAATAGAATAGGGTTTGGGGCTATATTTTTAGTGTTATAGTAATAAGGAAACCCCAAAATAGTACCGGTATTTATTTAGGCCCGTATATCGTGATAGTACCGTTATAGACCCCCCATAGAAACCCTTATAGACCTCTTCAAAGGAACCCTAGGAACCCTATAGGCAACTACTAAAGACCCCTATAGTAGCTGAGCTCGAAACCTGCACCGCGAAGAGGTAATGATGAAATCCTCGAAGCCGAGAGCAGCGGCTCGGTTGGGGTTCAGGGTTTGGAGGTTGAAGGGTTTAGGGTTCAGAGATGTCAGGGTTTAGGGTTTAGAGATCTCAGCGTTTAGGGTTTAGGGTTCAGAGATTTCAGGGTTTAGGGTTTAGAGATTTCAGCATTTAGGGTTTAGGGAATTAGAGATTTCAGGGTTTAGGGCTTAGAGATTTCAGAGTTTAGGGTTTAGAGATTCCAGCGTTTAGGGTTTAGGATTTAGAGGTTTCAGCGGTTAGGGTTTAGAGTTTAGAAATTTCAGCGTTTGGGGTTTATGGTTCAGAGATTTCAGGGTTTAGGGTTTGGAGATTGAAATGTTTAGGGTTTAGAGATTTCAGCGTTTAGGGTTTAGGGTTTAGAGATTGGGTTAAGGGTTTAGGGTTCAGAGATTTCAGGGTTCAGGGTTTGGAGATTGAAAGGTTTACGGTTTAGATTTCAGCGTTTAGGGTTTAAAGATTTCAGGGTTTAGGGTGTAGCGTTCAGAGATTTTAGCGTTCAGGGTTTGGAGATTGAAAGGTTTAGGGTCTAGGGATTTCAGGGTTTAGGGTTTGGAGATTTCAGGGCTTTTTGGGTTTGGAGATTGAAGGGTTTAGAGTGGGTCTAGGGCTTAAACATTTTAGGAGTTAAGACTTTGAGATTTCTGGGTTTAGGGTTCACTGTTCTAAGGTTCAGGGGTTACGGGGAGAGAGTCCCAGGAATCATTTTTCGCTCGCCCTGCTGCTATATCCGTACATGCTGCCAGGCCTTGAAATGTGGATCCTAGCATTTAGGTTAGGTTCTATCACTGAGGCGCCTAGACTATATTTTTCCCTACGAACCCCTTCCAAAATCCTACCTCCAGCCCTAAACCCTAAACCCTATATAAACCCTAATGTAGGAACCCTATATTTTTCCCTACGAACCCCTTCCAAAATCCTACGATAGCTTGTCCCAAACTGCCTCCCTACCATACGTGAAGCCAGGAAGCGCAGAAGCGGGAGGGAGGTCACGTCGTACATGAAGTTTGCCATGTAGTTCTCACCAGCCACAAGCTTGCCTCGGACGCAAGAAATAACAATAAAAGGGCCTTAATGATTTGAATAGGGCTTTGGGGTTCGCATGCTAGCTGCTAGTATTGAGAATGATCCCTGCTGCTAACCTTAGGTTTGGGGTTTGGGCTCTCGGAATTGGAGTGTAGGGCTTGGGATTTATGACTGGAGATTCGGGTCGATGGTCTCCATGATGTCGTCCTGCCGTGCGGCTGCTATAGTTCTGAAACTGCTTGGAGGTGCATTCGGGCTGAGATGCAAGCACACACGCACACACATACACACTCTCGCATACATACATACATACATGCATACATACACGAATACACACATACATACATACATACATACATCTATATACCTATACAGCTGGAGGGAGAGAGAGAGAGAGAGAGAGAGAGAGAGAGAGAGAGAGAGAGAGAGAGGGAGAGAGGGAGAGAGGGAGAGAGGGAAAGAGGGAGAGAGAGAGAGAGAGAGAGCAAAAAAAGAGCTGTCACAAGCTGTCACTCCGAGGCGAATGCCGATGTCAGTCTCGTCAGATGCTTCCTGGCTCACTGGTGGCACGGGCAAGGACGGGCACGGCACGCTGCAGTGGACAATTGCACCGACAACAGAAACCCTAAGGCTCAGAATGGCCCAAAAGCCTTATATAATATGGTCTTTAGGCCCAAAAGCCTTAGAATATGAGTCCCTAGAGCCTTCAACAGAGACAGCTCTCAGTCGCTCGCTTGCATTGGCACGATGGGGAGCTCTTGCCACGGCATGGCATCTGCATTCTTGCCAGGTGGAACCTGCACAGGCACAGGTCTTAAGCCTAGGCAACAGAAGAAATGGGAGTTTCCGAAAATCAGGGGCACCCTATTCTGAGGCCCTTGCAATAAGGATCCTATTGTTTAGGGTACCAGATTAGGGTCCCCTATGTTCGGAAACTCTCAAATGGAGGCTCGCGCCTCCTTGTACCGGACCCGAAACCTGCTGATGAAGCCTGGGCGCCAGGAAAGAAGCAGATCGGCAAAGCATATACTCACTGGCCCAAAACCGAAGGAAATAAAAGTTGAAACTTTCAGAATCGACTACCTCATAAGAACCCCAAAAGTTGAAAAGTTGAGTTTACAGCCAATAAGTATAAGCCTAAAGCTCTGCACAACCCCGAAACCCCAGACCCTAAACCCTAAAACCCCAAACCCTTTGAACCCCTAAACTCTTAAAGAGCAAAACCTAGACCCTAACGCTAGAACCCCAAACCCTAAACAGCAAGAGTCAGAATGTCCACCTTCGCATGCTCACCTCAACCTTCCCTCAGAGCCACGGTCCCGAACGAATCGCAAGTATACTTCAATAGTGCTTTCTTTTGGTTCCTTTTTTGGGCTCCTTTTTCCATCTGCAGGAATCCAGAGGTAGAATAGAAGGCCATTCGGCCAGGAGGACGGGGTTACATGCTTCAAAAGTTTAGGGTTTAGGTCCCAAGGGTTTGCAGTTTAAGGGTTGACCGTCTAGTATACGATTAAATGCCTGAAAACTGCCATGAGACAAGTTGCTGGAATATATACGAACGAAACACTGTACTTGACTGTAAATGTACTACAGGATGCGGTCACCTACTGCAAAATATTATGACATGCTAAACATCTATCCATCCATCTGCCTGTCTATATGCATTTATTTATCCACCCATTTGTATATCTACTTATCCAAATACCTATTCATGTCTATAGCCTATTACAACAAAACACTCTAACAGGCAAGAGGCCAAAAGACGGCGCTCGCCAGTCCATTTGCCAGGAGAGGCGGGCAACATGGCGGATCTCATGGACGACCCACTCGTCCTGGCATTGAAGAGCCCTAGACCCTAGCTAAACAGCAAATCCGCAACTCTAGATCCTAAATCCTAAAACCCCTAATTCCTAAACCCCTAAACCCCTCAACCCCTAAACCCTAAACCCTAACCCCTAACCCCTAAACCCTAAACCCTAAACCCGAAGCCCCTAACCCTTAACCAAAGTCAGGCCGCCTGCATCTGCCCAGTGAGGTCCTCATGCACGAGGGTCGTTCTCCAAATTAGGTCCCTTTTCTCAAAGGGGAAAAGGAGGGACCCTTAATGGGGACCCCTACCACAAAATGGGCTATATAATGGGTATATAATGGCTATATTAGGGGTCTATACCTAGGGGTCCTCATTAAGGGTCCCTCCTTTTACCCTTGGATTTTCAGGTTCCTAAACAGGGATAGATCTATAAGGGTTTCTGTAAGGGTGCTGCTGTATAAAGGTAAAGGTAGGTCTCTAAATTAGAGTCCCTGTTCAGGGTCCTTTAACGAGAAATAGAAAAATTCGAGAAGGCGTCGAAAAGGGTGCTATGAGGGTGGTTCTCTAAATTACGGTTCCTTTTCAGGTCCCAAAAGAAATGCGGCGCCTTTACCAAAAGTACCCCAAAAGGGACCCTAATTTAGAGAACTACCCACGAGGCGTTTCGGAGCATCGTTCGGGCTGATAGTTCGCGGAGGCTTCCCGCCAACTCAACACAGCCACAAAAGTCTAAACCCAAAACTTTAAGCCCCTAAACCCCTAGATTTAAATCCTTTTTGCATCAGACCTTGTGCAATCGCCTGAATGTGAACCCTAAACCACAAAACCCTAAAGTCTGCAGACGCCTCCGGCATGTCCACGAGACCCCGGTGACTGCCTTGCAAGCGAAACGGATGCTTGCTCTCAATCTACGGTGCTACGGTGATGATAAAAATCCTGCATGATCCATACTAAGGAACATGCCATAATGCCCATAGTTTAGGGTCCTTAAGGTAATGCAGCATTACCTTAAGGGTCCAAAACTATGGGAATTATGGTATATTCCTTGAAATGCGTAATGCAGGATTTATATCATCAGCCGTAGCCCTCCAGATTGAGCCCGGCGATGCCCGAAGACTTAGGGTGTAGGGCTTAGGCTTCCTTTAAAGGGTTAATAGAAGGGTACTATAAGGGCTCCTATAAAGGGCTACTAGAGGGGTTTAGGGCTTAGGCTTCAGGGTTTCGGTGTTGGGGATTAGTTTAGGCTTTAGGGGATGGGGTCTAGAGTTTCCCAGAGATCCCCATACCCCTAATTAAGGAATATACTTTAAATAAGAGAACTAAGGCCTCTATAATTTATGGTATATTCCTTATTTAAGGGGTATTGGGTTCTCTGGGTTCGTCTTTATGGCTTTAGGCCAGGCCTCGGGGAATAGGGTTTCCGATATCCAGTTGAAACATCTGCACTTGGATCGAAACATAAGCCCTAACGCCCTAAACCCGAAACCCTAGACCCTCAACACTGAAAAAAAAAACCAAACCCTAAGCCCGAAATCAGAAACCCTTATAGCAACCCTAGAGTATAACCCTTTGAAGGTGACCCTTCTAGTAACCCTGAAAGGAGCCCTCAACACCCGCCCGAAATCCCCAACCCTATCTCTGGAAGGATGGCATCTCCGCACCACTTGGAGGATCATGGGACTTAGTAAGTAACTGATAACCCTAATTGGAGTTATAAGCATAGTTACCTTATTTATAACCCTAGCTACTAAGTCCCACGATCCTCCACACCATCCCTGGGGCTACTGCTGGAGCTGCAGTTTACCACAACATGCTGTACCTGCCGCAGGCCATGATGCACAAGACGAGGTGAAGGCTAAGGGGGTTTAGGGGGTTTAGGGTTTGGAGTTTAGCGGGTTTAGGGTCCAGGGGGTTTTAGGGTCTAGGGGGTTTAGGGGTGTGCGGTTGAGAGTTTAGCGCTTATCTTCAACAGCTTGGGCAAGCTGCAATCTCAGGGTCTAGGCAATGGAAGTTCATGTGGGGTCCACATTCCCCAGTTACTAAGTCCCCCTAAACCCTAAACCCTATACCCTTATAGAATCCCTATAGATCCCTTTAAAGGGGCCCTTAAGGAACCCCTCCCTGAGACCTTGCACCTTCATCCCTAGGCCCCCTGGGCCCTGAACTCCAAACTCTGAACCCGGGCCCCTGAACCCTGAAACCCTAAACCCTAAGCCCCCAAACCCCTAGACCCTAAGCCCCACAAACCTCTAAACCCTACACCCTAAGCCCCCAAACCCCTAGACCCTAAACCCCCAAACCTCTAAACGCTACACCCTAAGCCCCCAAACCCCTACCCCAAACCCCTAAATCCTAAATCCTAAGCCCTCAAACCTCTAACCGCTAAACCCTCAGCCCCCAAACCCCTAAACCCTAAGCCCCCTTGGCGGCAGCACAGCAAGCAAAGCCCGGCGCACAGACACTGGAGTGCAGGGTGGAGCGACATGGATGCAGAGTGCTCGAGAAGCTGCAGACCTCAAGAATCCAAGAGGGTCCATATACACTACTATTATGGAATCCGGTCCCCAAAGACCATCCTCATTGTGGTTTTAGGGGACCTAATTCCATAATAGTAGTGTATATGGTTGTGAACGTTTATTTGGTATTTACTATCTCAACATACAAAATTAAAAAGCTGGAAAGAAGGTAAACTAAAGCTACAGGACAAAGGTAGAAGAAAGGTAACCATATCGAGAGAAGGTGAAACAAAGCTACAGGGAAAAGTTAAAGCAAAGGTAATCATATGCAGCAGCAGCAGCAGCAACAACAACAACACCAACAACAACAACAAGTTCGCAAAAGTACTTCAGTACCACAACGACAACCACAATGATTCAGGACAACTACTTTTAAGTTACGACTAGTTACTAGTTACTCGTAGCTTGTCAGGACTACTGACTGCTGTTGCTGCTGCCTTGAAAAAACAGCTATGTCTCTGCTCCATCCACAGGCGGGCTGCCTCCCACTCCAGCCCTACCCCCCTCCAAACCACCTCCCTTCCCTTCGCACCCTCCCCCCCTCTCCCCTCCCGGACAGGCTGGCTGGGGTTGACATTGCTGAAAAGCCGTCGCAAAAGCTGTCCCAACCCACTGCGGACCCCCCCCCCCCGCGCCCCCGCCCTCCCCGCGCCCGCGCCCCCCCGACGCCCAGACTCCCCCGCGCCCGCGCCCCGCGTCGCCCCCGCGCCCCGCGCTACCGCCCGCCTGGCTTTGTGTCACCTTTTCCGAGCACCTTTTCTCCAGCTTTTTCCAACCCCCGACCCTCCCTCTGGAAAGTTAGCTTTTCCTAGGGAAAAGCTAAAAAAAGGTGAAAAAAAGCAAAAAAAAGGTGAAAAAAAGGTACAAAAAAGCTGGGCGCAGATTCAGAAGGTAAAGAAAAGGTGGACGGAAAAGCTGGAGCAAAGCTGCCCTGCAAAACCAAAGCTGAAAAAAAGTGCCCGGAGTAGCTGGAGGCCAAAAAAGCTGCCAGCAAAAGCTGCAGGTCAGGCCCTGTGCACGAGAAAAGCCTTCCCTCCTCTCCTCCCCTCCCCTCCCCCTCCTTCTCTCCTTCTCTGCGGAGGGGATGGGAGGGGAGGGGAGGGGAGGGGAGATTCTAGCTTCAGAGCTAGGGAGAGAAGGGGAGGGGACTGAAGGATTTTTCAGACAACTATAGTTATAATTAGTCGCATCCCGACATATATGTCTTCCAGAAATATGAACTGTCAGCAGACGCGCGTGTGACCGCATGTGACTGGTTGTGACTTTCGGCTGTGTCAATGTAGTGAGTTTGCTTCAACATTCAAACTCTACCTGCTGCTCCTCAGCTCGTCACCTTTTCCAGATACTTTTTCTTGACCTCTCTCTTGGTGTGTTACCTTCTTGTCAGCTTTCTCAGTTACCTTTGTTTTACCTCTCGTTTGCTGTGTCACCTTGCTTTCAGCTTTCTCAAATACCTTTGTCTTAGCTTTCCATTGCTGTGTTACCTTTTTCTCAGCTGTCTCACATACCTTTCTTTTACCTTTGTTTCACCTTTTTAATTATTTAAGTGTTTATAATAAATACCACCAATACACGTTCACAAGTATATGGACCCTCTTGCCAAGAGTTGAAAGGAAGTCAGGCGGGTTCGCGACTCAGGGCTCTAGTACTTCGGGCTTCAGGGAGTTGGCTTACGGGTTTTTGAAAGGCTTTGGCTTAGGCGTTTGCGGCGTTAGGTCAAAGAAGGGCACTACCCAGAGGCTCCATAGTAGTTCCTTTTTGGGATTACCTTATAGGATTTTATATATGAACCCCAAAAAGGAACTACTTTGGAGCCTTGGGTACACCTTAAATGATATTAAATATTAGGCCGCCGCAAAGCATCCTGAGTCTTGCTAGCAACCAATATGGGAGTTTCCCCAAAATTGGGGTACCTTATTTTAGGGTCCTTATACCAAGGATCCTACTATTTAGGGTACGATATTAGGGTCCCCTATTTTCGGAAATTCCCATATGTGCACAAGGAACAAAGATAGGAGGAACTGGGAGTTGCGGGGCCAACTGTAATGCCCTAAACTAGAACTCTTTCAGATCCCTTTAAGGAACCCTTAAAGGACCCATTTTCGGGATCTCGATCTTCCTGACCTTATCAAAGCAGACCTCTTCCCACATACTGGTCACAAGCGGTTCATAAAAGGGCCCCAAGAATTAGAATAGGGCTCCCCCGAGGGGGTTTCCTAAAGGGGTCTATAAGGGAGCTATAGTAGGGTTCTACAGTATGGGGGCCTAGGTAATTAGAATAGGATTTTGGGGCCCGTGGTACTATAATTATAACAAGGAACCCACCTAAATAGGATTGGTAATTGTCAATTGTTAAGATCCCTATGGTAGACCCCAACCTCCAAAACCCTAAAACCGACCAGAGCCCCAAAAGCCACAACCCTTCCAAAACCCTTAATGCCTCAGACCCCTGAGAACTCGAAATGCCTCAATACCCCCCAAGACTTAACACCCTACACCCTGAACCCTAAACCCTAACCATCCCTAAAACCCACAGCTCCAAAAACACCGTAGCCTAGGCTCCGGGCACGGAGCCCTCCACGCTGCAAGACACCCAGCGCAGCTGAGTGAGGCCGGCTCCGGGGGACTGGCAACGCCGAGGGCATTTTGCGGGTTTCTCTTACCCTGAACCCTAAACCCTGAACCCTGGCCCTTAACCCTAAACCTTAGAGGGTTCCTTTGACGGTATGTACACGGTTTCCTTTAAGGGCTCGGGTTCCTTTCAAGAGGTCCCATGAAGGCTTCCTTTCATTGTTTCCCCGTCAAGGGCTATAAGGTACCCTTAAGAGTAATTACTATAGGGTTTAGGGTCTAGGGTACTATAGGGTTCTATAATGAGGTTCCTTTAAAGGGTTGCTTAAAAGACTTCCTTGAAAGGGTTCCGGTAAAGTCCCTAAATGGGCTTCTGTATCGGCTGCTGTACTGGATGTGTGCAAGCGGTTACCTCAGTGGGGTTCCTTCATCCTAAATCCTATACATAAACCCTAAACCCTAAATGCGTTCCCTAAACCCTAAACCCTTAAAGCCCTAAACCCTAAACCGATAAATCCTAATCCCCAAACCGGTTCCTCCAGGCTGAAGGCCAACAGGTTAAGGGTCACCACAACGCCTGTCGGAAAGCCACACAACCCTAAACCCTAAATCCTAAACCCTAAACCCCTGAAACCCCTGAAACCCTAAACCCTAACCCGAAAGCCCTCCCGGTGAATGCTACCCTGAAACACTAACAGTAACACCACCCCCCCTCCCCAGCCCCACAAAAGAACCGAAGCAGCTCAGCGCAGGTTATATAGAGGGTTAGGGTGTAGGGTTTGTGGGGGTTTGGGTTTGAGGGTTTAGGCTTTAGGGTTTGGGGTTTCGGTTTAAGGGATTAAGTTTTTCGGGTTTAAGGTTCAGGGTTATGGTTTTGGGCTTAGGAGCTACAGGGCGCCTCTTCCGCTATGTCAAGGCCCGAGACAAGCACTGCCCAGTCGTCTGACACAAGAACACCCAAGGGGTCCTGTTTCAAGACAATGGAGGCGCTCAGGGCTTAGGGTACATTCAGGGCTTTGGGCTTTGGAGTGCCCCGCGGACAGCAGCACCTGCGAACGACCACATCATCTCGTTAAGCTCTGGAGACAGTCACACTGGCTTCGGCTTCAAAACCCCCCATATCCAAACCCGAAATGCCCATCTACTCAACACGCCATACAAATAGATTCCAAAGGAACCCAACTTTATGCACGATACGGCTTTGTTAGTAGGTTCCCCATAGTCAAACCCCAAGTACACCACCAATTATATGACTGCAGAGCCCTTCTACACTCACCAGTATCCCCAAAAAACCCTACCGTAGACAGTATGTAAGGTCGGTACAGAACCCAAACTTAGACCGTAATGCACTGCTACAGTGTACTCGAACATATTAGATACTCTGATAAACTAGCATATACTATCAATATGCACCTATGTACTAAGAAAACCATAAAGCCTAAACCCGTAATCTATTATGATATAATAAAAAATATACGGCATAAGTATGATATACTGTTATCATGTATACAGAGATACAAAAGGGTGGTTGTCAAAATTAGGGTCCCTTTTTGGGTCCTTATTATAATACGGCACCTAATATTTAGGGTACCCAAAAAGGGACCATAATTTTGACAACCACCCACATATGATGCAACCATACACTCAGAACTCAGTATACGCAGTCCTGGGCCGGGTCGAGGCAGACATCTCCTTCAAGTTCACCTGGCTGTTTAAGGTTTTTTTTTAAAGTGTAATGCACCGCTCCTTTGACTCCAGAAGGCCGTCGGTACTGCTCGGATTGAGCTTACACTAGAAATTGCAGCTGTTTCGGGTTTAGGGCTCCGGGTTCTTATAAAGGGCTCCTATAAGGGATCGAGAAGGGCTCCTAAAAGACTTGGCCTGTGGTTTAGGATTCTGGGGTTTAGGGTTTAGGGTTTGGGGTTCAGTGTTTTGAGGTTTGGATCTGTGGTTTAGCGTTTTGGGACCCATTAGACTATAATTATAATATAATGAACCCCCAAAATAGTACTGGTAATTATTAAGGCCCCTTTTCCATAGAACCCTAGGGTCCCTTTAGGTTTAGGCTGTATGGTTCGGGTCTATGTTTTAGGTTCTGGGGTTGCTCGGGGTGTAGGGCTTACCTGGACCCTACGAGACCTGCCTTTCAAGGGTTGCCTACTTTGACTTCTTTATTAAAGCTTGAACCCTGAAAAAGGTGGGGGTTACTCAGGTACGTTTGTGGCTTAGGGTTTGAGGCTTCGGGTTTAGGGTCGAGGGTTGTTTGGGATTTAGGGCCTAGGTTGAGGTCCAGCATTTACGGTTCTAGGGTTGTTTGGGGTTAGAGTCCAGGGCTTGTTCAGGCTTTACTGCGTCGGGCTTCGGCGTCCGGTGCTGACCACAGCACGTGAGCCCGTCTCACGAACAAGGCGATCGGAATATAGAATACAATAAGGGTTCTGGAAAGAGCTCACGTTTTTTGGTAAACCACGTATCAGGATATCTGTAAACAGCGGCGGTATGGCAATTTGCAAGGAGAGAGACATGTCGGATCCTCCGAAGCAAGTGCTGCTACCGTGAGTGCAAGCCAGTTATGGGAGTGCGCACCCGCACAAACCCTTGACGGATCCTGCAAGTAAACCCTACGTACAAAGCCCGGTCGGCTGTTGTATATGTGGACACCGGGCTCGAAGGTGCATTGAGTTTAGGATTTAGGGATTCAATTCTTTAGGCGTTTTAGGGTTGAGGGCTTTAAGGTTTAGGCTTTTGCAACGCCATCAGGGCAAGCGCGCCTTGTCTGCGGCCGCCATCGATGTCAAACTGGGCCTGCAACATCCAAAATCTGCACTGTAGAGTCCCATGAAGAAACGATGCCAAGGATCCTTTTGGGGGATCGAGATGGTGGCACGGCATACGCTTGACCCAGACGGAAGTGACTGCAAGACTGCCCACACTTCCCGCCTGGCTCGTCAATCCTTGGAGAATCCAAGGGTAAAAGGACGGACCCTTAATAAGGACCCCTAGGTATATACCCTTCATATAGCTATTATATACCCATTATATAGCCCCATTATAGGGACCCGAGGGTCCCCATTAAGGGTCCCTCCTTGTCCACTTTGAGAGAAGGGACACAGTGCACTGGACCGGTCGGACGGGTCACATGGGAGTTTCCGAAAATTAGGGGTACCTTATTTTGGGGTGCTTATAATAAGGATCCTACTGTTCTGGGTCCGGGTACTATATTGGGGTCCCCAATTTCGGAAACTCCCACATGCCTATGTGCCCTTACTGTCTGGTGCTTCGTAGGGAATAGGGAAATGGATCCTTATAGAAGTCCCTATAATAAGGGGATCTGTAGGGATTTAGGGTTTAGGGTCTACTTGGGGGATCATGGGACTTAGTAAATGAGGTTAGAAGTAGTTATAGGTATAGTTACCTTATTTATATCCCTGGTTACTAAGTCCCATGGTGCCCTGAACCCTAAACCCTTATGTAACCCCGGAGTCCCTCCTAGACCCAACACCCAACACCCCCCAGCCGCAAACGCTGATTCCGGAAGCCTGGACTCAAAACCCTGCTTGGAGGTGGATGGTACTTCGTAAGTACAGATAAAAGCTAAACGTACCTTTTCTGGGGTTATAATTAATTTGCCTGATTATAACCCTAATTACTAAGTCACATGAACATCTAAGTAGGGTTTAGCTAGACCCTAAACCCTGGCGTTTAGGGTTTAGGGTTTGGGCTCTACCCTCAAACCTTAACCCTAGGGTTAAGGCTCCACAGTGTGCCCAGCAGCGAAGGGCTGCTCGTTGCGAGCCGTGGCGATTTGGTTGGTGTCGCCTCAGTTCCCAGAGACTCTAAAACCCCTCTATTTAAGGGTTCGTCTAAGCTTTCTATAGGGGTTCCCTGCAAAGTCTCGAATAAGGCTTCTATGCCCAGATCTTCCAAAACCGCCTGATGCAAGACCATCCCTGAGATCATTTCAGGGTTCCTATTGTGGTTTGAGATATATTCCTTCATTAAGTTGCCTTGGGAGTCGCCTCGGCTGGGCCCTGGAAAGCAAAGAATGGCAGCTTGCCACACTACAGGTACTTCGTTGCCATTCTCAGTTAAACCAACTTTGTAGTTTAGGATCCTGGAAGGTAGCCCCAAAACGGAAGCACATAAGCAAAAATTGGATAGGGATATCCCATATAAGCCCCCATATATTGAAGCCCAATAAGGTAGGGATATCCGCATAAAATGCTTATGCTTATGTGCGTTTTGAAACTACATACAATGGAGGTTACAGGTAGACTGAACACCCCATGCTCCCGAATGCCGGCTGCGGGCGGAAGACTTGCTACAACACATTTTCCGGGACTGCTGTTTCAGGATTGCAACGTCTGACCAATGACTTGAGTAATGAGAGACATCGCAACAAAAATCACCATGTCATGTGCCAGGACTTCCACATGTACTTGCAAACCAACAACGCAGAACGTCATAGCCGTTGCTTGCACGGTGCACCGGAAATTTTGGGCTACTGCTTGGATGGGATACTGCGATTCTTCCTTATGCAGGGACATTTACAGTGGTCTACTTGGAGGATCATGGGACTTAGTAAGTAAGGTTATAAGTACCCTAATTGGAGTTATAAGTATAGTATAGTTACCTTATTCATAACCGTAGTTGCTAAGTCCCATGATCCTCCAAGTACTGAAGACATCTTTAAAAGTTGTTTGATGAAGCGGCTGGATCGACTCAGAAGTTTCAGATGTCGAGCAATTCAACCGCGCAACGGCCAGCTCTCATGCAGTTCGAGGTTCTCCAAGGGCAAAAGGAGGGACCCTTAATAAGGACCCCTAGGTATATACCCTTAATATAGCTATTATATACCCATAATATAGCCCATTATAGGGTAGGGATCCCCATTCAGGGTCCCTCCTTTGTCCCCTTCGAAGTTCGGTGCCCTGAACTTCTATGCCGCTTGTTGCAGTGACAAGTTCTGGGGGTCACGCCGAACAAATTCGTAGGCTTCGACCTCTCGCCATTCAGACCACCTGAGCCACGGTTTAGGGTTTAGGGTTTAGGGTTTAGGGTTTAGGGCATGGACTCAGTGAACCCAGGGCACAAGCTCAGCCCTGCAAAGCACAAGCCAGGCAGACTCACTCAAGATGCACACGGACACCACGTAAAAGGCTTCAATTCAGCAACAGACCCTGCTCAAGGCCTAAACCCCAAACCCTAAACACAAGACCTGAACCCGATCCTCGAACCTAATCCCTAAACCCTAATCCCTAAACACTAAACCCTAATCCCTAAACCCTAAACCCACCCAAACCTGAAGCCGCAGAGGCTAGGTTCCTGACCATTATGGACCCTTAAAGGATCCCTCATAGTGCCCTTACAGAACCCTAAAGCCCTAAACCCTGAAACGAGACCCAAGTGGATCATACCCTTTAAGGATCCCTGAAACTACCCGAACAGAACCCTGAAAGGGACCCTTGTAGGGACCCTTACAGTGCCCTTAAAGGGACCCTTACAAGGACTCTTACGGTGCCCTTAAAGGGACCCTTACAAGGACTCTGACGGTGCCCTTAAAGGAACCCTTAAAGTGATCCCGCCGGCCTCAACCCGGCGGACTCCTCAGCTGAGAGCTCAGCAAAGCAGTCCTAAACCCTCCTTCCTAGGAGTTCCTATCTATAGAGATTTAGGGTTTAGGGCGTAGGATTTAGGGTTTAGGATTTAGGGTTTAGGATTTAGGGCTTAGGGGTTTGGTGCAACGCAGTTCTGAACCCTCCTTCTTCGGGGTTTATCTAGGGGTTCCTTAAAGGGCTCCCGCATAAGGGTTCCTCTATGGGATCTGTAGGGATTTCGGGTTTCGGGCCTACTTGGAGGTTCATGGGACTTGAAGAAACACCCGATAAGTAGAGTCACCTTACTTATAACCCTAGCTACTAAGACCCATGAACCTTTAGGTAGTCCGTGAAGCCGGAAAACCCTGGGGCTAAGGTCTATAGAACCTTAACCCAAAAAAATCCTTAAATTCTGGAGCTTCCGGTTGATGATATAAATCCTGCATTACCCATACTAAGGAATATAACATAATTCCCATAGTTTACGATCCTTAAGGTAATCCAGGATTTATATCATCAACCGTTCCTACGACTAAAGTAAGCTTTGCAGCAAACCACGCTGACCGTGAACCCAATTTTGACGGGCCCAAACACCAAATCCTGAACTCTAGAGACGACCCTTATGATGGAGCCTCTATGCCCTAATACAAGACGAAGCCCGAAAAACCCTGAAGATACATTTAAAGACGGACACAAAACACAAAACCGAAACCCCTGAAACAAAAAACGAAACCCTAGCCAACCCTGACGATAGAACCCCTATGATGAAGCGGTATTGAAGAATTAATTTCCCCCAACCCGTACACCCTAAACACTGCGGTGACGATCTTAAACATGCGGGATTGAATTAAATGTTTAAACAGATATCTTATACTACGGTTGATGATACAAATCCTGCATTACCCACAATCAGGAACATACCATAATTCCCATAGTTTAGGGCCCTTAAGTGCAGGACTTATATCCCCAAACCCTAAAACCATAATAGACCCCTTAAAGGAGCCCCTTAAAGGTACCCTTATAGCTCCCTTTAAAGGAACCCCAGGATTTATACCATCAACCGTACCTCCGCTTCCGCTGGGCCCAGGCCACCAAGTCTTTTTACAATGGTGAACCTCTGGTCCCAGAGACTCCAGAACCGCTTAATTAAGGAATTATGCTAGGTACGGCCCCCATACAGTAAGAGTCTATAATAGGGCTAGTATTAAGGTCCTTCTATATCTATATTATGAATATTATTCAGCTATTACTGAGTGGGGGCCGTACCCAAAGGATCCCTAATATGATTTAAGGAATATTCCTTGACTAAGGGGTTTTGGAGTCTCTGGGGTCAGTAAACATGCGGAACATTTTTTAGACCCAAGAGTAACCTAGGAATAAAAAGGGGTGTCTTTTTTTGGTTCAAAGGGGCTTATCAGGGAACCTGAACCCTTAAAAAGGGAATAAGGGCCTACTCTGGGCCCTAGTTTTTAACAGCAGCAAAGTGTTGAAAACCTCTGCGGCCTCGGCGGTTCGGCCGCCCTCCACGTACTTGAAAACCCCTACTTGGAGGGTCGGGGGACTTAGGGGTTCCTTAAGGGCCCCTTTAAAGGGATCTATAGGGATTCTATAAGGGTATAGGGTTTAGGGTTTAGGGGGACTTAGTAACTGGTTATTTTAGGGACTTATAAGTACCATAACCCCAATTAGGGTCCCTTTTTTAGGGTACTTATAAGTCTACTTACTACCTACTTACTAAGTCCCCCGACCCTCCAAGTAACCACCAACCACTAGACCCAAAACCCATGAACCCTTTGAAACCTAAACCCATAAACCCCTAAACCCATAAACCCCTCAAACCGCTAAGCCCTCAAATCCCTAAACCCTAAAAACCCCCAACCCTTAAACCCCTGAACCCCTAACCAAACCAAACCTGACTTCTGAGTCTCGCCTCTTACTACCCCAATAAGCCACAGAAATCAAAGCTTAAACTTTCCGATTCCTACTAGACTACAAGAGCCCAAAAAGCTTAAAGGTTGGGTATTGGGCCATAAACCCCAAACCCTAAACCCCCTAAACCCCTAAACCCATAAATCCCCTAAACCCCAAACCCTAAACCGTGGCGATCTAAGGTCTGACCTCCGAGGCTCGTTGCGGCGTACCGGAGCCGAGTCCACGCATCGGAACTGAAGCCGGAAAGGCAGAGGAAAGTCATCCTCGCGGTGTAGGGTTTAGGGTTTTAGGGTTTCAGGATTTAGGCTTTCAGGGTTTAGGGTTTAGAGTTAACTGCAGCCGGAAGGGTGTAGAGGTTGGGGTTTGCGAAGGCAGAGGAAAGTCATCCTGAGAAGTGGGTGTAGGGTTTAGGGGTTTAGGGGTTTAGGGGCTGAGGGGTTTAGGGGTTTAGGGCTTTAGGGTTTAGTCGCGCTTAAGGCTTCAGGGGCTATATCGGCTGTCTAGACGGTTTAGCACAGCCGAGCCATAGGGGTTGTAGACCCCTTGATTGCGGAGCATACTTGAAACTTGTCGAGCGATCCTCAATATGATGGGTAGTTCTGCAAATTAGGGTCCTTGCTTAGGTCCCAAAGATACGTAGTACGGCACCCGTATAACAAGAATCTTCAAAAGGAACCTAGTTTTCAAAACTGCACATATAGTTTGGTTATATAGGTATATTCCGTAACTGACGCCGAGGTGCGAGGGAGGAGTTCGGCACATAGGGGCCTTTGATCCAGTCACCACTCTCATCCGTGCCGCAAAAGTTCGCCTGCACGGACCAGCGCGATCCGGGTTTTGTTGTTGCAAGCCCAGAGACTCCAAAACCGCTTAATTAAGGAATATGCCTTATAAATTGAGTATAAATTATACTAGGACCCCTAATAAGATTTAAGGAATATTCGTCAATTAGGGGGTTTTGGAGTCTCTGGGAGGTTTAGGGTTGCTTTGGGGTTTAGGGTTTAGTGGTTTAAGGCACGTTCCAACAACGCAGTCGCAGATAAGTGGCCGGATGTCGAAAGGGCCACTGCACGACAGCTGTCCCCATTCCTCCTGACTGACTTTCAGGGTTAGGGGATGTGCTGCAGGTTTCCAGCTCTCAAACTAGGGGTACCTGATTCCAAGTGCCCATTTTGTAAGGACCCCTACTATCTATGGTCTGCCTTACATGATGCGCAATACTGTTCTTCTCAATATTATTGTTATTCTGCTTATTTTTCAACTATCCGAAACTCTGCTCTCCTTGGGGTGCTGTTCGGCTAGCAGGCACGCAATCTGCGCTTGGCAGCGCCACTGGTGCAGCCAGCACGGGGACCTCGTGGCTTGTGAACACCCCTGCAAGACGACACCTGCCCCCTGTATGTTAGGATGTCCTTAAGGGGGGGTGGTCCAAGGGGGGTAGGTAACCTAGTAATCCCCATTATTCCCCAATACTCCCTAAGCTTCCCTAAGGTTCCCCAAAGCTCCCTAGTACCCTCCCCCCTTGAACCACCCCCCCTTAAGGATCCTATAAGTATGAGAGACTGAGAGACCCAAGCCGGCCCGAGCCAGTAGTGCACAAATTGAAATGCATCCGATACGCATGTCCGATGCACATCGCTGAGGGACCCAAGAAGAACAGCAGCATAAGGAGCTAATAGGGACATCCCTACCTTACTTGGAGGATCATTGGACTTAGTAGCCAGGGTTACAACTAAGGTAACTATGCTTATAACTCCGAATAGGGTACTTACAACCTTACTTACTAAGTCCCATGATCCTCCAAGTACTGGGCTTGATTGTAAGGGGTTCAAAGAAGAAAAAAAGAAAAAACATAAACAATAATAAAAGAAAGAAAAGGAAAAGAATGTGTCAATCGCACCGAAACCTTGGGCTCGAGCAAGCTCAGGTATGAACACCGGCGCGCCAGACCACAGCAGCTTTGGGCCTCGGAGAAGCAGAGCCCCTAAACCCTGAGGCCTTAAACCATATAGATCCCCTTAAAGGAAGCCTTCTGGATCCCTTTAAAGGAACCCTTTACGGATCAAGACCCCTAGACCCCTAAAACCTACCTCAACCCCAGTATCCTACCTTTTTTTGCTGACTGATAGAAGGAAATCATAATGGGGAACCTTCAAAAGGAAGGTCTTATAGGGTCCAGGTAAACCCTAAGCCCTAAACCCTGAACCCCAAACCCCTAAACCCCTAAATCCTAAAACCCTGGACCCTGGAACCCTAAACCCTCAACCCCAAACCCCAAAAGGGAGCTTTCTCCGGCCATGGCACTGAAGTTTGTCTCGCCGGGCAGACTCAAGTACCGTGCACGGACACCTGGTGCAGACAGCTTCACTGGGAAGCTCGGGAAGAGAACGAGACGCTATCGCGCTGTAGTGGTTGAAGGGTAGATGTAACAAGTAGGCTTGTACGGCCTACTCATCATCGTCAAAGCATCGCACTTGCGAATCGTGCCTCATGGGCGGATACGCTGCGTGGGTCTCCCTTCCCTAACTTAGATTTTAGAGTTTCAGGCGTCAGGTATGAAGTTGTAGGGCTTAGTGGCTTAGTAAAACCTGAACCCTACTATCGAGCCGAAACCCAAACCCCGAAACCCTGAACTCTTGGCCCCGTCGTCAAAAGTCCTAATCCCTACTAAAATCCCCAAACCCTATCGTCAATGTGTTGATGCCCACGGGCTGGAGAAGACCTAAACCCTATCGAACCCTGAACCCCTCAATCAACCCTACATGAAAGAAATCCGAGACCCCTAAGCCCTAACCCCCCCCCCATAGTACCCTTAATACAGATCCCTTAAAGGATCCCTTAACAGTACCCCTGTACAATCCCTTAAAGCGTCCCTTAATCGTACCCAAAAATAGATCCCTTAAGGGATCCCCCAAAGCGGAGCCCTAAACCGAGGGGCCGAAGGGCCGAAGAAGACCTACACCCTAAAAAAAAAAAAAACTACACCTCGAAGCCCCAAACCCCCAAAAAAGTGCCCTTAAGGATCTCTTAAAGGAGCCCTAAACCGATTACCCTTCAGGATCCCTTAAAGGAGCCCTAAACCCATGGGCCAAAGGGCTGAAGAAGACCTACACCCTCTTAAAGGAGCCCTACAGTAGAAGCCAGAAAGGTAAATTGTAAGGTATCCTACCCTGAAACCATATTCCAACTTTCTGGAGTTCCCTTAAACCGACGGGCCAAAGGGCTGAAGAAGACCTGGGACCTCTGCGCCAGCGCGGTGCTGCGGATGTCGACAGAACACTCGACCGGGTTCCCTTGCACCTCTGAAGGCTTTAGGGTTTACCCTAAATTTCCTTTCAAGGGAGAAGGGATCCCTTGCACCTCTGAAGGTTTGGGGTTTTTGGGAAATTTAGGGGTTCCTTTAAGGGAGATCCCTTGCACCTCTGAAGATTTTAGGGTTTTTGGGAACCCTAGGGGTCGCTTTAGGCTTTAGGGCTTTAGGGCTTAGGGCTTAGGGCTTAGGGTTTAGGGTTAAGGGAGAAGGGATCATTGAGGGCTTTCAGGTTTAGGGTTTAGACGCTTAGAGGTTGAAGGTTTAGGGATCTGAATCTGGGACATTGGGTTTAGAGTCTACGTACCATTTGGGGCCCCGGTTGGAGCTGCAGGGCTTTTGAAATTATACCGAGGATCCGACTATTTTCAGGTACGCGCGTCAGGATTTTAGCGCAAAGGCATCTGTCGCTCAGGGGTTTAGAGGCTGGCGGTTGAGAGTTGTTAGGGTCTGGAGTCGAGGCATTGAGGGTTTAATTAAGGGTGTTCTATGTGTTTCGGGTTGTTTGGGGGAGTAAGAGTGTTTTTTGCTGTCGTTTCGGGGCGCCTTTTTTCGCGGTCGTTGCAGGGGCGCGTTCTTTTTGTTTGCTGTCGTTGCGCGGGCGCGTGTTTTTTTTTTGCTGTCGTTTTTTGGGGGGGCGCGTTTTTTTTTGCTGTCGTCCCTGGGGGCAAAAAATGCGCCCCCCAGCGACGACATCAAAAAAAACAACGCGCCCCCGCAACGACAGCAAAAAAAAACGCGCCCCCGCAACGGCAGCAAAAAAAAACGAGCCCCGTGTTTTTGTGTTTGCTGTCGTTGCTGTTTTGCTGTCGTTGCGGGGCGTGTTTTTTTATTGGCTGTCGTTGCGTGAGCACCTTTTTTTTTGGCTGTCGTTGCGCAGGCGTGTTTTTTTTGCCGTCCCTGGGGGGCGCGTTTTTTTTGCTGTCGTTGGGGGCACCGGGCTTCACTCACTCACTGGCTTCCTGGGTCCGCGCAACGGGAACAACAAATACATAAAGGCCACTACAGAAAACAACACTGCGAAGAATTAGGGTTTATGGGTTTTGGGGTTTGAGGGTTAAGGGTTGTTTATCTGTCTCGGGTTTTGGAAATGATTAGGGTTTATGGGTTTAGGGGTTTGAGGGTTTGGGGGCTTGAGGGCTTGGGGGCTTGGGGGTAGCAGTCTCAGCATTGGTTGGGTTCTCTTGGCCCCGGACACATAAGCAAAAACGAGGATAGGGACATCCAACATAAACCCCCTTATAAGGAAGCCCAATAAGGTAGGGATATTCACCTCAAATGCTTGTGCTTATGTCTTTTGGGGCTCTTGGCCCCGGACAAGGTCACTCTTGACGCTGGTGACGAAGATGGGTGACGACTGCTCCCAGTCAGGGCCACTTCCGGGCATCTTGCCCTTCCTGAGACTGAATCAACTGCGTTTACGGTTTAGGGCTTTAAGGGTCTTTAGGGCTTGAGTGTCAAGGGTATACGGTGTACGGGCCTTCATGATTAGAATAAGGTTTGGGGCTCCTTTATAGTATGACATATAATAAGGAACCTTCAGGAATAACATTGGTAATTATTTAGGCTTGGCTTGTGTAGCTCACGGAAGCGCACGGAACAGACAATCTAAGAAACCATCGCTTTCTTTATGCGGTCTCAGAAGCCCATCGCTCAAGCGTGACAGCGCCTGCATGTGAGTTCACATATGGGTGGTTGTCAAAATTAAGGTCCCTTTTTGGGAACCGTAAATGCTAGGTGCCGTATTATAATAGGGACCCAAACAGGGATCTTAATTTTGACAACCGTCCATATCTGAAAGTCAACATCAGCTCGAATCGCAGCTCTCGTGCGGGCGCTCGCAAACTGGAGCGAGCGAGAGGCGAGAGGCCTCTTGGAGGATCATGGGACTTAGCAACCTTTGTTGTTTAAGTAAGGTAACTATACTTATAACTGTAGGGTACATAAAGCCTTACTTACTAAGTCCCATGATCCTCCAAGCAGAGGCGAGAGAGAGAGTGAGAGAGAGAGAGAGAGAGAGAGAGAGAGAGAGACAGCGAGAGGCAGGTGGCAAGACTTTACAGTAAACGCCAGAAAGTTGGAATATGATTACCCTAAACCCTTTATGGTAAATTACAAGGTATCCTACTCAGAAACCACATTCCAACTTTCTGGAGTTCCCTGTGCATCGAAAGTGCCTGTAGCTGCTCGGCGGCTGCAGCTCCAACATCATCTGGTCTTTGCCAAGCCTTCGGGGGCGAATGCACCAAGTGCGTCGGACGTTTCACCGTAAACCCTAAATCCTACACACCCCTAAACAAGATCCTACCTACCTGGACCCCAAGAGTATGTAAAATAACAGCCTTTTATGGGTTTTGGGCCATTATTTTGCCGACTTTTGGCGACTTTTGGTGGTTTAGGTACACTTCCTCCCATCATGACACGCTCAACGAAGCTCCCCCCCCGACGGAGGGGCCTCGATGCAATACTCCACTGGAAGAGCGGTCCTCGGGTCGAAGGACTTGAAAGCCGGGAAGGCGAAGTGCAGCGCGTGGTCGCGGGTGCGGAAGATCTGCAGTATCAGGGCTTATAAGGGGCTCCTTGAAGGGATCTCTGAAGGGATCCATAAGGGTCCTTTAAGGGATCTATAAGGCTCCCATTCATAAGGGATAGAAGGATCTACCGCGGGATCTACAAGGGTACTATTTCGGGCCTAAGGCTCGGAGGGAGAGTGGGGGGGGGGGGGGGGGTTCTGGAGCTTAGGGAGCTTAAGGTGTTTAGGGTTCAGGGTTCATCGGGGGTTTAGGAGTTACGGGCGTAGGGTTGAGGGTGGAACGGTTTGGAGTTTCAGGTTTAGGATACTGGGTTGAGGGGGCCGGATGACTTCACAGTAGGCAAGCCGCACGAGGCGTTTGAGTTTGAGCTTAGGGTATTGGGGTCTTGGGGTATTGCGGTTGAGGCTGTGTTTTTGTCTACAAAACCCTGGAGGGCTTGAGGGGCCTTAGAAAGCCTTAAAACGATCCTTGAAGTGAACCTCAAAGGAACGCCGAATTTTAAGCTGTAGGCTGGCCAACTAAACCCTAAACATCCTACACCCTAAACCCAAAGACCCCTAGACCTCTAAACCCTGAACCCCTTGACCTCTAAACCCCTAAACCCAACTCAAAGGGGAAAAGGAGGGACCCTTAATGGGGACCCCTGGGTCCCTATAATGGGCTATATAATGGGTATATAATAGCTATATTCAGGGTATATACCTAGGGTCCTTGTTAAGGGTCCCTCCTTTGACCCTTGGACCAAAGACCCTAAACCCACTCAGGCCTCCAGGATCCCGCTTTCCCTCGGCGCGAGAACGTCGCAGCAGAACCGCGCGAAGTCTGGAGGCTCTAAGTCCCGCGCCTCGCCACTCTTATAGGGTATTATTTCCTAGGGGTCCTTTGTTTTAGGACAAGGGATCTAGACAAGTTTAGAGTTTAGGTGTTTAGGTGTTTAGGGTTTGGGGTTCAGGGGGTCAGAGGTTTTGGGGGCGTTACTATGGGGTTAACGTTCGGGGTGTTGGGGCTTGAAGGGTATTAGGGGGTTTGGGGGGTTGAGGGGTTCAGGAGTTTAGGAGTTCAGGGATTGAAGGGATTAGGGGTTCAGGGTTTAGGGAGCCCGGGAAGAAGAGGGATATGGATATACATATACATGTATGTATATATATATATATACAGATAGATAGTATGGGGGGTCCGCTTCCTTGGTAAACTAGGGCCCGGCATTTAGGGTCCAAGCTGAAACACTCTTCAGGGTCTATGTAGGTTCCATGTTTTTGAAACCCTCAGACTCGGACACGACAGTCATTAGTCGTGGTAGAAGTCGTCGTAGTAATCGTATGTAGTGAATGTAGTGGTCGTCGTCACGGTCGCCGTAGAAGTAGAAGTAGAGGTAGCGGTGGAGGTAGAGGTAGAAGTGCGGGTGGAGGTGGAGGCGGAAGCGGAGGCAGAGGCAGTAGTAGTAATAACAATAATAACAGAAATACTCGCAATCACAACAATGATCATAAAATAGAGCAGCAGTAGCAGTTAATCCAGTAGAAGTAGTTGGAGTAGTAGGAGTAGGAATAGAAGTAGGAGAGTAGGAGCAGGAGTAGTAGTGGCTACTAGTACCTGTTGTCGTAGTAGTAGAAGAAGAAGTTGTTGTTGCACCCTTACTCGTACTCGGACTCGGATTCGTGCAAGTACTAGCATTGACAGTGACCACGAAAAGAAAGAGAAGCAGAAACCTAAGAAGACAACTAGCCGAACAATATTGCCAAACAACAGAAGTACTCGTCATAATAGCAAAATAAATATGAAATACGAGTAATTATAGTAACAATAGATAATAGTAATCGAAATTATGATAGCGGTAATAATGCTAACAACGGCAATGCTACTGCTGATGATAGAAATCGTGCATGACCCATAATAAGGAATATACAATAATGCCCATAGTTTAGGGTCCCTGAGGTAATGCAGGATTCATATCATCAACCTAGACCCGAAACCCTAAAACCCTATAGATCCCTTAAAGGCAACCTTGTAGATCAAACCCTAAAGCCATAATAGAGCCCTTGAAGGAGCCCCTTAAAGGTACACTTATAGCTCCCTTTAAAGGAACCCCTGGATTTTTATCATCAACAGTATTACCCTAAACCCTAAACCCTAAACCCAGAAACCTAAACCAACCCTAAACCCAGAAACCGTAAACCCTAAACCCCTAAACCCTAAACCCAGGATTTATATCATCAACAGTAGTAATAGTCAGAAGCAGCGGGGCCCGGGGCCTTCAAAACCCCTTAATTAAGGAATATACCTTAAATCATATAAGGGACCCTGTTATAATTTAAGGTATATTCCTTAATTAAGGGGTTTTGGAGGTTTTGGGGGGCCCTAAAACCCTAAACCCTAAACCCTAAAACCCTAAACCCTAAACCCTGTAGATCCCTTTAAGGAACCCTTAGGGGCCTTCAAGCGCAAGGGCTCCGAGGTGGGGCTCCACTCGCTCCTAGGAGCTTTGGAGTCTCAAGCCATCAAGAAAGGGTTTAGGTTAGGGCTATAAGGGTTCCTTAGAGGGTTCCTTAAAGGGTTCCTTAAGGCGAGAAGGGTTTAGGGTTCTAGATCCCTTATAGATCCCTAGGTTAGAAGGATTCCTTAAAGGGCTCCTTAAAGGGATCTTGAAGGGGCTCCATAAGGGATCTATAGGGATTTAGGGTTTAGGGTCTCCAGAAGCCATCAGGGAAGGGTTTGCTGAAGGGCTTAGGGTTATTGAAGAAGGGTTGACTTGGGGTTATAAGGGTTCCTTAAAGGGTTCCTTAAGGCGAGAAGGGTTTAGGGTTTAGGGTTTAGGGGTTTAGGGTCTAGGGGTCAGGGGTTTAGGGGTTTAGGAGTTTAGGGTTTAGGGTTTAGGGGTTTAGGGTTTACGGGTTTAGGGGTTTAGGGTTTAGGGGTTACTTAAAGGATCATGGGACTTAGTAACTAGGGTTTAGTTTAGGTGCTGCCCCCCATACAGTAAGAGTCTATAATAGGGCTACTATTAAGGTCCTAATATATCTATATTACGAATATTATTCAACTATTGCTGAGTGGGGGTTCCCACCCTGTAATCATGACTATAAGGATTATATTAGGGCCCTAATATATATTCCTATTATACCACTATTACAGGGTGGGGGCCCCTTCTAAGGTTTGGGGTTCAGGGTGTGTGCGTGCAGGGTTTGGGGGTTTGGGGATCATGGGGTTTGGGGTAGGGATTACTATAATCAGGGTTCCTTGAAAGGTCCCTATGAGGGTACGGTTTGGGGTTAGGGATTACTATAATAAGGGTTCCTTTAAGGGTCCCTGTAAGATCCTACAGGGGTAGGGTTTTGGGCTTTTTGGGGCCTCCAGGGTTCAGGGTTGAGGGTTTGAGGGTTTAAGGTTAGTGCAAGGTTCCTTCAAGGGTTTAGGGTTTAGGGTTTAAGGTTGGTACAAGGTTCCTTCAAGGGTTTAGGGTTTAGGGTTTAAGGTTAGTACAAGGTTCCTTCAAGGGTTTAGGGTTTAGGGTTTAAGGTTAGTACAAGGTTCCTTCAAGGGTTTAGCGTTTGGGGTGAAGGGTTGGTTGGAATGAGGGTTCCTCCAAGGGTCCGTAGAGGGGTAGGGTTTGGGGTTTGGGGATACGGAATACTATGATCAGGGTTCCCTTAAGGGTCCCTATAAGTGTAGGGTTTAGGGTTTGGGTTTGAGGGTTGCTAAAACTAGGATTCCTTTAAGGGGTCCCTGTAAGGGTAGGGTTTGGGGTTGGGGGTTAAGGACGATTTGTGGGGCCTACAGGGTTGAGCGCTTAAGGTTTAGGAATACTGGAAGAGCTCCTTCACGGGTCCCATCACGGGTTTCCAGGTTTAGGTTTTGGTGTTCGGGAGTTCGGGATAGAGGGTTGCTTGAAGGGTTCCTTTAAGGATCCCTAAACGTGTTTCAAAACGTAGGGTTTGGGGTTAGCATTAGGGGTTAAGGGTTTGGAGTTTGGGTTTAGGGTTCAGGGTTTGTCACTGGCCCAAAACCGAAGGAAATAAAAGTTGAAACTTTCAGAATCGACCACCTTATAAGAACCCCAAAAGTTGAAAAGTTGAGTTTACAGCCAATAAGATTTTTGCAGGCCTCAAAAAGGTGGGATGAAAAGGATCCCTTGCCTTCTATCAGGACTCCTATTTGGGAGTTTCTGAAAATAGGGGTACCTTATTTTGGGGTCCTTCTAATGGGGATCCTACTATTTAGGGTAGTATATCAGGGTCCCCTAATTTCGGAAACTCCTATTTGGGACTACCCCAACCTACCTTCATCCTACCTCTTGAGGCCTCTGCGCTTTTGCTGGCCAAGAGTCCAGTTGTCAACTGAGCGGATTACTAAGGGCATTCAAGGGTCCCTATACGGGTTTCAACATGTAGGGTTTGGGGTACGATTCGGGGTTCAGGGTTTGGAGTTTGGGCTTAGGGTGTTGGCCAAGGGTCCAGTTGTCGACTGAGCCAGCTCGCACACTGACGATGTACTCTTCCCCATACTGCAAGAAATCAGACAAGAAGGCCATGTACTGCTTCTGCACCTGCAGGGGCGTTGGGCCCTCACAGCTAGACTAGGGTTTCATTGCATAGTATGTACTAGTATTAGGATTACCAGCACAAAGCGGAATATTCACACAATGGAGGCTTAGGATTTTGAATTTTGCACATAGGGTCGACTCAGCACGGTTGCCTCCTCCGCAGAGACACAAAAGAACGGCTGAGCTTCTTTCCAAACGGCTTGCTCACCTCGGCGTGCTGCGTAACAAAGCCGCTCCCCAGAGAGCCCAATACCCCTTAAGTAAGGAATATACCTTACAAGGGGATTCATATAATGATTTAAGCCATATTCCTTAATTAAGAGGTATTGGGCTCTCTGGGTCTAGAATACACAAAAACACTGCAGAAGCGGCCTGCTGGAAGTCGCGATGTTCGCGCAATCCGTATTTGGAACCGGCAGATGACCTCGACAAGCATTGCTTGACCCTAGACCCCTAAATTCTAACCCCTCGACCCTAAGCCCCTAAGCACTAAAGCAGTCCTAAACCCTAAAGCTGCTACTCACGAAACACTGGAAGCTCCGTTGCGACCAATTGGCACAGTGCGGATCGACTTTCACGTCGTCCTTAAGCTGCCACGTCGCAAGCAGCGTAATTCCGCCGATACGACGTTTGGCGGCCTTGTAGCAAGTAAAGCCAAAAAAGAAATCGTACGAAAGACCGAAAGCGAAGCTGATATCTGTTAAACCTGAACCCTGAACTAAAGCACACACCACTAGACTTGAATCCTGAACCTGTTATCAGCTAGGATACCCAGTAACCTAAGAATATAAAGGCCTCTCTGTTTGGTATTGGGTACTTTTATCAGGAACCTAGGACTACAGAAAGGGAATAAGGGTACTACTGGGCATCCTAGTCAGGGTTCCGTCTCAAGGGTCAGGGTCCAAAGTTTACAATACAACTTAGGGGGCTTAAGGGGCTTAGGATAAACCCTAAACCCGAAGCCACAACACCCCTAAACCACAAACCCGCAAATCCCTACATCCTACCTCCTAAGCCCTAAACCCCTAAACCCATAAAACCCTGAACCCCTAAAGCCCTAAAGCTCTAAAGCCCAAACCCCTCAGCCCTACACGCCCTAAACGGTTTCTCGCATCAGCGAAAATCCAAGGGTAAAAGGAGGGAAGGACCCCTAGGTATATACCCTGAAATATATCCATGATATACCCATTATATAGCCCATTATAGGGTAGGGGGTCCCCATTAAGGGTCCCTCCTTTTCCCCTTTGACTAAACTAAACCCTAAACCCTATAGATCCCTTTAAAGGAACCTTATAGATCCCTTTAAAGGAACCCGAAGAGCCTAAGGGTCCCTCCTTCTCCCCTTTGAGAAAAGCCGAGGAGCAGGTTGGCCTGCGCTAACAAGATCAAGGTCCTCATCAGTCCACTCCTGCGCGGAGGATCATGTACTACTAGGGTTTAGGGTTTGGGGTTTAGGTTTTACGGATAAGGGTTTAGGGTTTAGGGATGGATCGTGGGACTTAAGAAGTCAGGTTATAAGGGAGTTTCCGAAAATTAGGGATACCTTATTTTGGGGTCCTTATAATAAGGATCCTACTATCTAGGGTACCATATTAGGATCTACTCATCAGTCCACTCCTGCTCGGAGGATCATCTAGGATGCCCAGTAGAACCCTTATTCCCTTTTTGTAGTCCTAGGTTCCTTATACAGTTACCCAATACCAAAAAGGGAGCCCTTCTATTCCTAGGTTACTGGGCATCCTAGTCATGGGACTTAGTGAGTAAGGCTATAAGGGTCCCTTTAAGGGATCTAAAGAGGGTACTTCAGGGGTTTAGGGTTTAGTGTACTTGGAGGATCTTGGGACTTAACTAGTAACTTAAAGGGTTCCTTAAGGGTTCCATAAAAGAGCTCCTATCAGGGTTCCTTTAAGGGATCTACAGGGGGTTTAGGGTTTAGGGCGTGCTTGGAGGAATATAGGACCTAGTAAACAAGGTCATAAGTGCCCGAATTGGAGTTATACGATATGTAATTGTAACAACAGTAGCCCTAGTTATAACCCTACGTAGTTTGCTAAGTCCCATGATCCTCCAGTCTGCATTTTCAGTGGGGGCTTGGGTCCATGGGGCACTTGGGATTGCTCTAGTATTGCATTAAAGTATCTTAGATAGATTTTTTAGGCACAGTACAGTATCGTGCGATATGCGCCTTTAAGGGTTTAGCGGTTTAGGGATCAGAGTGACATGCTGGGATCCCAAAGCGCAGTGGAAAGGTCCAGATCTTGGGGACACTGAAGGTACAATAGAGGAGCCTTCATCATTAGAGTTTAAGGGTTTAGGGTTTAGGTTTAGGGTTTAGGGTTTAGGGTTTTAGCGTAGTTTTGGTATACTAGGACGATAGGGGATAAAGTGCTAAGCTTTTGCGACCCCTACATTGCCGGAAAGCCAGAACCTTTCCGTCCTTGTGTATCCAGCCAGGTGCTGCGCGCATGGCTTCAGTGCTGTCACTCGTCACCTGAAAGTGTTGCAATCACTTGTGGTTCACAACTCGCACACCATTGTGAGAGGCACACACTGTCGAACACTTGCAAAACCTTGTAAGACTCGTGCAAAGCCTGATCAAGGCCTTCTAACGTCATTGCAAAACGACATGGGAAGAACCTGTAAGCACAATTTCTCTGCAAATCGACGGTTAGTTGTATGTGTATAAAATATGCATGTTATATATACATATATATATACAGACGTACATTGGCTGACAATGTCTATATTAATAATGTCCAGATCTATAGAAAAATGTATATGGATTGCCGATATTATAGGTGTTTGTGGTTTTCCACAACAAGGAATCCGGAATCTTTCGTGGTGTGCACAAAGGCACCGATCTGGTGGTTTCTTCAATTTGGGAGTTGCCTATTTGGAGGACCTTAAAGGGAACTCCAGAAAGTTGGAATATGGTTTCAGGGCAGGGTACCTTACAACTTACCTTAAAGGGGTTACGATCATCGTATTCCAACTTTCTGGCTTTTACTTTAGAGTAAGGACTCTACTACTTGAGTTCTGTCTGCAAACCTGCTTAGATCTATCCATTGACTTAGTCATTTCACTTCCTTGTTGAGATCAGCTTCTACAAGCGTTATGAAGGTCCTGCGTTTGAGGAACTCCCCCACTGTCGGAGTACAGGTGCCGTGATGGTTGGAAAAGGGTGCTGGGACCTCTTGTACTATATTCAGAATCATGAACTCTAAAGAATAGTATTACTAATGAGTTGGACTCCTATACTTGCAAAACCCCTACTTTCTCCCCCTTTGTATTTGACCCTAAGCCTTGAACCCTAAACCCTGAACCCTAAATCCTAAGCCCTCAAACCTGAACCCTCAGCCCTAAACACCCTAAATCCTGAACCCCAAACCCTTTTCAGACCAGTGGCCGTCACCGTCGGACGCTGCACGAGGTGTCCCAGCTCGGGGCGCTTTCGAGGTGCAGCCGCCGAGCCGCCTCGGCGGATCATGGGACTTAGGGTTCCTTAAAGGCTTCCTTAAGGGGCTCCTTTTAAAGGGTTCTATAGGTTTAGGGTCTACTTGGAGGATCATGGGACTTAGGGTTCCCTAAAGGGCTCCTATAAGGGATCTTTCACAGGGACGTGAAGGGTTACTCTAAGAGAGTACCCCTAAGGGACACTACAAGAGCTCCTATAAGGAATCTTTGAAGCGTCTTCAGTGGGGGGGCTCTACTTGAAGCTAATCCCAAAGTCCCATGATCCTCCAAGTAGGCGCTAAACCCTAACATTCGGCCCTCTGTCCCGGCTCACTCCCGGGTGCAGGCAATACAGCGGCTTTATCAACTACAAAAGGGTTTTGAGCTTATTATCGTGCAATCAATCCACAAGGGACTGCAATGACACAAGAGAATGAATGGTATTTTCTACTTCCCCTAAACCCTGAACCCTATATTGCTGTGCATTTGTAGAAATTAAGGACTATTGACTAGTGACTAGTGACTACAAGAGAATGGTATATCTGATTTCCCTAAACCCTGAACCCCAAACCCGAAACAGACCGCCGATTTTAGCAACTGTTGAACTGAACTGAGGTCGGCGCGGTCCTGGAAGGAGGCGGTGCCATTGCCCTTGGCCGCCTCAGCAGTGCGAGCGGGGCTGCCTGAACTTCTAAATGGTGCTATAGGGGCCAGAATAGGGTTCCGTTAAGGGCTCCTTTGAGGGTTCTATAAACTAGAGTTTGGACGTATGTTATTTCTTATGGCAGCGTGGCATACTTACAGTGTATAGAGTTATATCATATTCCTAAGGAGCAGTTTTTGAATGAAATGCTCATATACGGACTGCGCTGCTTAAAAGTCATACTTGCTTAAGGTTCCCCTTGCCTTCACCTTCAGCTGGACTGGGAAGATCAGGAAGTTTCTGCAATAAGGCTCCCTGTATGTAGGACCCCAAACAAGCACATAAGCAAAAAGTTAGATAGGGATATCCCAGATAAACCCAATAAGGTAGGGATATCCCTATAAAATGCTTATGATTATGTGCCTGTTGCGTCCCTGAGTATGGGATCAGAGATTTAAGAAGCCCGTAGTAAGCGGCAGCCCGTTGACGCTGCGATCAAGGGAGATCTGGTTTTACCAGTAGAGAACAAACGGCTCACACGGAAGCTCGGAAGATAATAGTGAAACAGAAAAGGTTGCCGAGATGTCCACTGGTTTCCCATGCTCTTCCTACCATGACCAGCGATACCATCACTCTTTGCTCCCCTTTCTCTCTCTTGCTCTTTCTTTCTCTCTCGTTCTCTCTCTCTCTCTCTGTCTCTCTCTCTCTCTCTCTCTCTCTTTCTGTCTCTATCCCTTTCTGTGTCTCTGTCTCTCTTTTATGTCTCTCTCTCTCTCGCTCTTTCTCTCTCCATCCCTCTCCTTGTCCCGCTTTCTCCCCCTGTTTCTCCGTCTCTCTCTCTCCGTCTGCATCTCTCTGCTTCCTCTTCCTTGTCCGGGTTCCTCCACCTCTGCTCTCAGCAACTCGAGAGCTCAGCGCCCGGCAGCAACGAACATTCCAGCTGCCATGACCTTCAAGTGGAGGTTTAGGGAATTGTTCAACGCTCAGGGTTTAGGGCTTTGGACCCTAAAACCTAAACCCTCTTAGGAACCAAAACCCTAAACCCTAAACCCTAAACCCTAAAACCTAAACCCTCTTAGGATTTAGGGATTTAAGGTTGCCAGGCTTCAAGGCTTTGGGGGTCTGGGGCTGAGGCTCAGGGGCCGCAGTGATCCAGTGGTCATGTTTTATACGGGTCCAGGCAGGCCTTTTTACTAAAGATTGCATAGGAGTGTTTGTGAGTGCTTTACAAGGATTGTATATGTGCTCTCAAAACCAATGCTACCTGGACCTGCGTTTACAAACAGGATCTTGCTGTAGACTCGAAATTCGGGTTCCTATATGCGATAACCGATAGCCCGAATGAAACGACAAGTTAACGGGCTTGAGAATGATTGTTCGGGCCGTTCAGCAAGCTTCCATGCGGAAGCTGATCCCTGAGTGACCATTGACGAGGCCGACTGCACTGTGTGGCACCTGTCCTTGCAGACATGCATCCTGTACGCCCCCTCGTGCTCTTGTGCTCACACCAGTCTGTTTTAGAGCCATGTCAATATGGCGTAAGAGTAAACCGGCAGCGAAGACCGAACGCAGGAGCCGGTGCTTTCGATCAGCCATCAAATGCAAAGATCTTACAAGCAGCAGGGGACCGAAATGGGTAATCTAGGTACATGGGGCCTATGAACCCGCCTAAACCCCCCAAGCCCAGTCTGCAGCAAAAACTGAGGAAGTGGCCCAAGGTCCCCGCCTGAGTTTCGGAACGAAGCAAGCGCTCTTTAGGTTCCGGGGCACAAGGAAGGCACATGCTTAGGTTGTCAAGGTTTGGGTTCAGGGTGTAGGATTGAAGATTAGGATGTAGGACTTAAGAGAAGATCAAAGCTCAAACGCAGTCCTGCAGCTGCTACACAAGGTGCGGCCTTCCACTTCCTAACCCTATAAGTTCTACTACAAAAGCTGTATACGTTGAGGAACCCTCAGGAACACCGCTAGCAAACCCCTAAACCTTAGACTCTGCATATTATGCCGAAGCTACAATAAAGAAGCCGGAGGAACACCCTTCACGAAACCCTATTCGAAGGATCATGGGACTTAGTAACTAGGGTCCTAAAAAAGGTAACTATACTTATAACTCCAATTAGGGTACTTATAGCCTTACTTGTTAAGTCCCATGATCCTCCAAGTAAATCCGGAGCCCTGCGGTCGAGAGGCTCCTCCGGAGGCTCGGGCTTAGGTACGTGCTCATCGCAAATTTGCGACGAGGACCTGCCGAGAGACCCTATCGGTTTAGGGTTTAGGGTTTAGGGTTTAGGGTTGACCCTAATGGCTCCACTATTGTCGGAGACTCCCATATTAGCCTTGACCCCAAACCGTCACGGCATATTCATTGGGTACGGCCCCCACACCGTAAGAGTCTATAATAGGGCTACTATTTAGGTCCTCATAAAAAGAATGGCAATCAAATCGCGGTCGCACCTTTTTTACTCTAAGGGCGGCGCTTGAGCCAAAGTCGTCAGTATACAGCTCGTGTTGAACTGCCTAACTTCAGATGCATATGACGTCCTGTACATGTCATGCGTGGAGTGTGCACATGAAGATGCGTGAGCCTTCTCCATCTGCGGGCAGCAAGGCCTCATTGCAGATGGAGATACCTGACCAAGTCAAAGCTAAAGTACAGATTTGCTCGTATATCTTCTACTCCCCCTTCGCACGACAGGCATGCCAAACCTCTAATCAGGTTCGTCAATACTGAGCGGCGTGGCTTCTTGATCAACGGAGGCTTTTTGCCTCTGGCATACGGAGAGTTCCGTTGCTCTCATTTCTCCATTCGGAGAAGTTTCAGTGCTGACGGAAACTTTGCTGGTGCAAGCGCTTTGGTGAAAACGTCTGCCTTTTGCAATTCTGTGGTGATGTATTGCAGGCGACTGTAGGGATCACTCTCGAAAATTTCATATAGAGATGATAGGTTTACTCTGTGAGTCTTACTCACGTGTCGGAGTTTAGGAGAATAGCCTGCGTGCACGATGGCAATAACTGCGGAGTTGTCCTGGTGACAGATAAGTTTAGTCTCCTTCCCTGTCAACATCTCAAGGAATTCTTGGGTTGGCAATGCATCGCCAAAGACGCCGGCGCAAAGAGATATCATTTCAGCTTCCGTGGTGCTGCGGCTTGTGGCGGTTTGTTTCTTACTTCCCCAAGCAAGGGGCCAGTAAGAATGCTCTCCCTCCAGGCAGAGGATCATACCACTTGTGGATTGCGCGTGGTCCACATCTCCTGAGTGGTCCGCGTCCGTGTACAAGCTAAGATGTAAATCCTCAAAAGAATCCCCTATTTCGTGAACGATTGACAGGCCAGGCGCACCTTTCAGGTAAGCCATCAACCGATGCAGTCTTTTGTCGTCGGCTACGCTCCATTTGGTTACTCGTCTCGTGAGGTCTGAGATGCTTTTCATCAAATCCGGACGGGATAATCGTGCCAACCACAATGCCTTCATAAGTATGCGAGATGCACTTGGTGAAAGAGCCCCTTTACTTTCCCAATCTGTTGCCAAAAGGCTACCTTCGGGCACGAACGGGGTTGCTGCAGGCTTCAGAGAGCGGCCGGACAATTCTTCGTACAAGCTACATGCGTTTGCAGCGTAATCCGACATGTCGTGCCGCATTTTGGAGCCTAATGCAGTTTTCTCAAACAAGTGCTTCCTTCCTAACACTCTGTCGACGGGTGTGGGTGGTTCGATTTCCAGGTGTGTCTGGAGCTCAGACCAAAAAGCATCATGAGCGCCTTCCGGTCCAGAGAGAATGATGTCGTCCACATACAGTGTTAAAAGTAGTTTGGAATCTGCAAACCAATATGAGCTTTGGAAAAGTTCACAATGCTTGCCTCCCATGCTTTCAACAACAGATTTGAAACGGGCATTCCAATGGTATCCCGACTCCGGGTGTCCATACAATGCGCGCTTCAGGCGGACGCAAGGCCTCTCTATGTGCTGAAACTCTTTCGGAGTCAGCTCAACCGGAAGCTCAACCCAGGTAGGCACTTTTGTGTTCAACTCGCTTTGTGTGTAAGCTTTCACCACATCACTTTGTGTAGATTTGTGGTTCTTAGCAGCTCCGTACGCTAAGTTGAGGTTGATACCTGTGATGCTTGTGGGACTCACTTTTAACTCTTGCAGTATTGCAAGGTTGTTAGATTCGTCTCTGATGTCATCACCTCTAAACACGATTCTTGCCTTGAGTTTTCTCAACTCAGGGGTTTCCCAATGCTTGATGCTTAGGAGAGTCATGAGGCGACCCACGTTGATTGGCTCCTTCCGAGACATGAGCTCTTTTCTGGGGACCACCTCGGAATAGTCCCAGGTGTCATTTGCGATGAGACCCTGAGCCTCTCCGTTGATGCATTCCTGAGCTCCCGGATGCTGGTGCCAATCCTTCCGGTCTATGGGATGATGAATCCCTGCAAAGACGGAATCCTTTTGATCGCGCTGATTGTGGGGAGATTGCACAAAAGTGGTGATGGGCATCGCTGCACTTTCGGATGAAATCTTGGAGTATAAGCTGCTAAGAATAGTGTAGGCCATGGACTTAGGGTAGCGGGTGGTGTGGCTAGTCGTGCTTGCTTCAGCCTTGCAGCAATGGAAGTCCGGCTCACGCTGGAAACTTTTAGCATCCAAGTTCTGGGCTAGCTTCCATGAAGAAGTGATGATGCGCCAAGGTTCCTGGTGAGCTACACCATCCTTGTTGCACGATCCGTGGGCACAACCGTCTGCTATCGCTTCATACAAGTTGTGACGCTTGATGAAGGACGCAAGCTCTGGCAAAGCCCAACCCTTTGCTCTCTTTGGCCACTCGAAGGACACATGACCCCCTTGACCCAACACTACCTCGGCTACAGCTAGAAAGTTCCTAAGAATTCTTCGTGAGCGAGCCTGTTGCTTTCTCGCCTTGACTTTGTGCTTTTCTCTCAAAGTCCGCTCATTCTTATTCTTGGTTTGCCAATCGCTCCAGTGACTGCATGGAATAGATCCCCACAAATCACAACCAGGAAACAACTGTACCAACTTCTTAAGGGATTCCGTTTGCTGAGGGTCTGAGACGTCCGTGTTCTTGTCGGTCAACCGGAAATGGTTGATTCCGAATTCTTCATTGACTTTACCCAAAATAGAATTTTCATCGTTACAGATTTCGAACATCGTCTCGCTACCAACTTGCCTGAGAAGATGGTTGCGATATGGCAATCCTTGCGGCACTTGCTTGGCTGCCTCATTGGCTTTCGCAGTCATGGCCTTGCAATCTGGATGCGTTGACTCGATGTCTTGAAGGATCGATGCTACTGCTGCGGCCCCCTTGGCAGGTGATCTTCTTAACTGCTCCGAAGCGTTTGCTTTCATGGTATCCAGCACTGCTTGCGCAATTTCAACCTTGCCTTTAGGATAGAACCACGTGGCTCCGACCCAACTTTTGGAAGAGATTCTTCTATTCGGGCTTTTGTCATGCCAATCGTCTTTGAACGTTGATGTGCGGCCTCTGCACCTCCATACGGTCTCCCTTGCTGAAGAAACTACGTCGGACTGGAATGGACATGCTCGCCCCACAGGGGTGTACAAACGTTTGCGCGGTTTCACATGCACTCGTTTCCAAGCTACCATATCCTTATCAAACTCCCAGTAATCCAGTTCGCGCTCATTTGCAACGTGCTGCGGAGTGGTTCCTGGGCGGCTAAAGGCCTCTGTGGAAACCCTTCCGGAGGCACCTGGCACAGGTGGATCTGGAACGTCTGGCGGAACTGACGGTGGAGGCTCGAAGGAGGGAGCTGAAGGTCTCGCCTTTTCTTTGTCCCTAGCTGCCTTAGCTACGGCCTCATCCTCGAGCAGCTTGCGGAAACGTTCGTGGCATGCGTCTGAATGCTTTACCCCTTCGGCGATTCGGTCACAACCCTTACAACCGACAGTTTTTCCAAACTTAAGTGCTCTTTCCAGGGTAACATATGTGCGCCTAACTCGAGGTTTTGCCTCAGGGGCACCCTTTTCGAAAGGCAAAGTTTCCCTAGATTCCAGCGCTTTCAGATGTGCGGTTGGCTTGAAGAGTGCGAGCTTCTCGTTTAGGGCTTCTTGCAGTGGAAAGATGAAAGTCTCAGGAGTCACCATTTCTGTTGCATGGACTTGGATGGGTCTACCACAACCTTTCGCATCTGTCCTCAATGCTTCATAATCCAAAATCAAATGCACGCCTCGAAACTTGAATCCAGAATCCATGCGCCAACCACAAAATATCCCTGGCAACGCTCTTGACTGAAACGCAGGGAGGTCTTTGTGGTGAGGAGGCTTGTAGTACACCAAAGCGCCTAGAGGAATTCTATGACCATCGAATGTATTCCCTCCATTGGCGGCTTCGTAGCATGTTTTGCCTTCCTTGAACGCGACGGTTTCAGGAGCATCGTTAGCGTGCACAGGTACGGGATTTGTAAACGATCTGGCGACACAGAAGTATTCTATTGCCCGGGGCCATATAATGCATGAGGAAATCCTGCTGCTAACTGCGCTGCTCTAGTTCCTTCCTTAATGGTTCTTATCAACCTTTCTAGTTGAGCATTATGGAAAGGGTCATTCGGAATACCTGGTTCTGGCAGCCACCCGAGGTACTTTACAGCTTCAGTAACCTCGGGGGCGCAATCGGATTTCACTGCGCACAATGCTCTGCCGTGGGCTCTGGTACCCCCGAATTTCTGCAACGCTGCGATGTTGTTGTCGGTAGTCCTCGATGTTTGTGAAAATGCTGACACACATCCGCTGTATTCATCATACGCAATGAGGCAGGCCTGTTCACCTTCCGACCCTTTTGTCAAATCTTGCCCTAGGATGATGTGGTCAACCCTTAGCCTATGCCCGAAGTGCAGCGGTGGAGTTTCCTCGGGGTCTTCTTCAATCCTAGCCCTATGGACTCTGCCTGTCATTTTGGCGCGTCTGCAGATTTTGCAATACCTGTTTTTGGGGAAATGCGTCATCTGGTGTCTCAGGGTCTTAGATTCGGCGATTAGCCTTTCGCGAAGACTTGGAGTCCACTCTTCATCGTCATCGCTGTCTATTGGGTCATCGGCTTCAGTGGCTACTGGGGCATCACACATGGAAAGTTCATCATCCTTCCCAAACTTGGGCAACGATGGGTCTGGCTTTAGCCTCAACCCTTCTGGACTTGGGGCTGCTGGGCCTCCTAGGTCCTTCGGGTCTTCTGGCCTGGCTGCTTCCTTTGAGGTGTGACGTCGTCGGATGT